GCCTGCTTCGAAAGAAATCACCGACAAAAAGGAAAAGATTCGATTTAGAGAGTGAGTGAAAGAGAAATTTTTGATTTCAGACAAATCTTATATGCAAATTTCCAGTAAAATGCAAATTTCTAGTAAAATTCGCGCTTTTATTTTCAATCGCACTTTTGCTCTTCATCTCCTCTTCCAAACGGTCAACTTTTTGAATTTTGGCGTTTTCATGTCGTTTTGGAAATAAACATTCATTGTTCTTTCAAATTTGTCTTGCTGTGGCCCGCCCAGCCCACCACAAAAAGAGTACAAGCCTCCAGATCACTCCTAGCAACATTAAAGACAATTATTTCTAGATTTTCTTTAAATCTGGAGCACACAACACAATTTCATAGCTTAACATGCCTTAAAAGACTTATAGAAGACCATTTCCAGCACCTACAGTACCCCAGAACGACTACAAGGCTCCAGATCACTCCTAGAAACATAAAAGCCAATTATTTCTGGATTTTCTTTAAATCTGGAGCACACAACCCAATTCCATAGCTTAAAATGCCTCAAAAGCTTGATAGACTACCGTACCTACAGTACCCCAGAACGACTACAAGGCTCCAGACCACTCCTAGAAACATAAAAGCCAATTATTTCTGGATTTTCTTTAAATCTGGAGCACACAACCCAATTCCATAGCTTAAAATGCCTCAAAAGCTTGATAGACTACCGTACCTACAGTACCCCAGAACGACTACAAGCCTCCAGACCACTCCTAGAAACATAAAAGCCAATTATTTCTGGATTTTCTTTAAATCTGGAGCACACAACCCAATTCCATAGCTTAAAATGCCTCAAAAGCTTGATAGACTACCGTTACCTACAGTACCCCAGAACGACTACAAGGCTCCAGACCACTCCTAGAAACATAAAAGCCAATTATTTCTGGATTTTCTTTAAATCTGGAGCACACAACCCAATTCCCATAGCTTAACATGCCTCAAAACTGCTTTCATCGTTAGCTCGTTAACTAGAAGTCCTTTCTAAATCTTTCTTTTGGATGTGTTTTGAGTGGCGTCCCGGGTATTTATTGTGATTTTGTCTTGTCGCTATTCAACTGAATAAAGCATAATTATAAATGTTATGCGAATGTGGGCGGTGTAAAATAACAAGTACTCGAGGAAAAAAAAAACCAAAAAAAGAAACCTACTTGGCACTAGAATTTCTTTACTTTACTTTACTGGTCCAGAGTATGGTAGTGCATCTGTTTAAAGCGGTTTAAAACGGTTTAAAGCGGTTTAAAGCGGTCTAAAGCGGTCTAAAGCGGTTTAAAGCTGTTTAAAGCTTCTGAAAGCACGCTTCAAGCTACCGTACCACTCAGTGCATCGTGGGACAAAGCTCGATATTTTTATCTGCAAGATCATCAGTGTTTTACATTTTAGAATTCTAGTGTGCTCTCCAGATCAACGAAAAATATAGCAAAATTTGCATTTTTATAATAAAATTGACAGTTTAAGGCCTTGAACTCGATTCGGGGTACGGTAGGATGTAAAATGATCAGTTTTCTTTAGTTTATATTTTAGAATTCTAGTGTGCTCTCCAGATCAACGAAAAATATAGCAAAATTTGCATTTTTATGATAAAATCGACAGTTTAAGGCCTTGAACTCGATTCGGGGTACGGTAGTTTATCCACCAAGGAGCACGCTTTAGAAAACAGTACCTATGAGGGTACAGTAATCCGTTGATTGAATGCCGTGCGCTCCAGATCGGCAAAAAATATGAAAATAGTTGCATTTTTATCTTAAGATTAACAGTTTAAAGCCTTGAACTCGATTCGGGGTACGGTAGTTTATCCACCAAGGAGCACGCTTTAGAAAACGCTTTAGAATAGAAAACGGTTTCCAGGGAACAGTTCTGAGATGTAGAAATGCTTAGAAATTTCTGTTTTTGTTTTTTTGCTCATTTATTTATTTAATTTAGGTTAAACATCAAAAATTAAAGAAAAAAAAAACCAGGAAATGGGGAAAAAAGGGAAAAAAGGGTAAAAAAAGGGGCAAAAAAGGGAAAAAAGAAAAAAAGTAACCCAATCCTCAGCCAAAAATCGAGTTGAACTTTAAAAAGAGAATAATTTAGCGAAAATGAAAAACGCCTACGCTAAAAATTGAATAAGTTTTGCAATGCTGCTTCTTTTTATTTTATTTCTATCGTACTCTTTCGCTCAAGATTTACCGTTAAACGCTGCGAATATTACAGGTTTTTAAGGCGTTTTTTAGGCGTTTTTTTAGGCGTTTTTTTAAAGTCTTTTATGCGCTAATTACATGTGCGTGATTACAGCCCATCGCTTTGAATGAATTCATATATACTTGAGGCTTCACCTAAAACATACAAGAACTCATTATAAAACGTTTCTTTGACTATCTGATACACTTGATCTTGGCTTGGACTAGATAAATCACCACCTAAACCAGTCAGTAGTGGCCAGGCCAGACTCAAGGACTCAAGGGCCAGGCCAGACTCAAGGACTCAAGGGCCAGGCCAGACTCAAGGACTCAAGGGCCAGGCCAGACTCAAGGACTCAAGGGCCAGGCCAGACTCAAGGACTCAAGGGCCAGGCCAGACTCAAGGACTCAAGGGCCAGGCCAGACTCAAGGACTCAAGGGCCAGGCCAGACTCAAGGACTCAAGGGCCAGGCCAGACTCAAGGACTCAAGGGCCAGGCCAGACTCAAGGACTCAAGGGCCAGGCCAGACTCAAGGACTCAAGGGCCAGGCCAGACTCAAGGACTCAAGGGCCAGGCCAGACTCAAGGACTCAAGGGCCAGGCCAGACTCAAGGACTCAAGGGCCAGGCCAGACTCAAGGACTCAAGGGCCAGGCCAGACTCAAGGACTCAAGGGCCAGGCCAGACTCAAGGACTCAAGGGCCAGGCCAGACTCACTCAAGGCCAGACTCAAATTCTAGACTAAACTTGATCGATTTGCTTTACCTTTAGATGAATACAAAAGCTATGTGTGGAATTCGCAAAAATTATACGATTTTCTCTTCACCAACTACAGCCGCCAATTGTCGCCGATTAAAACGACGAGTGCAAGACCGGAAAATCGTTGGTTTACGTGTGGTGACATCCAGATTGAGGAAAAATTTGAAAATATTCCATTTTTGAAAAGCTAGAGACCATTTTAAGCCTTGTACTCTTCCGGGGGTACGGTAGTTTGGCCATCAATCCTTGTGCACCATTTAGCAAACAACCAGAAAATGTGCAGTGACATCCAGATTGACGAAAAATTTCAAAATGAAAGTTTAGTGTCTTTGGATGAGCGGTTTAACGTCAACATTGAGCTCTACTTCGTGAAATTGATTGATGTGGTTGGTGAAAGGTTTTGGTTGAAATGAGATTATTCAGGTTGAAGAGCTCGAGAAGTTTAACACCCTTTCCGAGATAAAAATGGTAAGTGGCCTTCAAAAAAGTATACTGAATTCTTCATTTTTCTAAAGATTTGTTGAAACTGAAGAATTGAGTGCACTAGAAAGGGTGAGTTTCCATTAGCACAAAGTACACCTGAAATTTCTCCTATAGATAGTGTGAGTTCCAGGATACAAACTTTGTTAGACAAGCATAGCAAAAGCAGCCATTCTAGCGATGATTTCTTAGAGAACTCCTTCGCGCACTAGAAAGGATGAGTTTCCATTAGCACAAAGTACGCCTGAAACTTATCCATTAGATAGTGTGACTTCCAGGATGAAAACTTTGTTAGATAAGTATAGTAAAAGAAATCATAATAGCGATGTTTTCTTAGAGAACTCCTTCGTGCACTAGAAAGGATGTGTTTTCCCGCGAGCAAAGTGTATCCAAAACTTGTTCATTGTATAGTGTGCGTTCCAGGATGCAAACTTTGTTAAATAAGTATAATCAAACTAGTCATAATAGCGGTGTTTTCCTAGAGAACTCCCTCAGGCACTAGTTTGCTTACAAAAAACTTTCAGACTTGGATTGACCCAAGGCTTGCTTGGGATCCAGCAAAATTCGGTGGAATTAAAGAAATGAGAGTAAATGTGGAGACTGTTTGGCAACCCGAGAACGCTTTATCCGATACGTAAGCTGATTTCAAAGAGTTGTAAATAATCGGGTAATTGAATCAAAGAAAAATAAAGTCATTTCCAGCTCTCAGGTCTACGAGATCTACGCAGATGAGGTAAAACCAGTGATTTTAAACGCAAATGGAAGCGTTTCGATTCTCCGCAAATACTATGCCGAATCGACGTGCAAAATGACGAATGTAAGGGATTTTGGGCAACTATTTCAGAGGAACTACCGTAATTGAAACAGTTTTTCATTTGATTTGCCCAATCTGGATGGCACAAGGCTTAATGACAGAAAAATTGAGGTAATCGGATGGAAACTATCTCTTCGACTACGGTAGTTTTGATACTACCGTAACCGACATTGCCATTTTTGATCCGATTACCCAAATTTTAATTCCATTAACCCTTGTGCCATCCAGATTGGTCTAATCGAATGGAAAACTGTCTGGTTTATGTAAGGCTCTTTCTAAAACATACCTATTCCAAAAATCTACCGTAACCGACATCGCCAGTTTCTATCCGATCGCCCTAATTTTAATGCCGTTATGCCTTGTGCATTCCAGATTGGCCTAATCGAATGGAAACTGGTGGCCGGATTACAGTAGTTTTCTAAAACACACTTGTTCCAGAAAACTACCGTAATCGACACCTCCAGCTTCTACCAGATCGCCCTAATTTTAATGCCATTAAGCCTTGTGTGTTCCAGATTGGCCTAATCGAATGAAAAACTGGCTGGTTGATTGCAGTAGTTTGTCTGAAATAGGTGTCTTTTAGAAAACGGTTTTGCTAAACTGAACCCACTCGTCTGATCTTGTTTGCCAAATGATTTCTAGTGGAGTGTACTGTCACTTGACGTTTCAACGTTTCTAGATCGGTGATTTCCCTTTTGATCACGAGATTTGCAGCCTTTATTTCATGGTTTATTCGTACAATTATTGGGATGTCTCGATGAGTCTCTCGATTCCCGAAAAAAAGATTTATTTAATAGCGGTGAGTGCCAAAATGTGCAGTGACATCCAGATTATAGAAAACATTTGAAAACATTTGATTTTTATATAGTTTAAAGGAATTTAGAGCTTTGTACTCGTTTCAGCTTACTGTAGACGATCCATTTTATAGAAAGACCACTTTTTTAGACGTTAAACAATGTAGAGAAGGTTTAATTAGCAAATCGAAATTCATTTAGGGAAATGGTGAATGGTCTATTTCTCGGATTACTTCACAAATCGACTTCTACAATACCACATCGTACGCGTATGCCTTTGATTCGGTAATCAAGAGCAAATTGAAAAACAAAACTGTTTAAAATGTTCTAATCTGGAACTCACACAATGCATCTAAACCGTTCCAGTACCAATTTGCATTCAAGTAAATCCGATAGAACCATCGAGTTGAAGTCTTAAGGAAATTTGCATATTCGACGTTTAAACAAGAATAATTTCCAAGAAAATCTTTTGTTCTGGAGCTCACACTATGTATCTAAACCGAATTTCCAGAAGAAATTTACATTTAAAATCTGATAGAACCATCGAGTTGAAGTCTTAAGGAAATTAACATATTGGAAGCTTAAACAAGAAAAATTTCTAAGAAAATCCTTTGTTCTGGAACTCACACTATGTATCTAAACCGAATTTCCAGAAGAAATTTACATTTAAAACCCGCTAGAACCGTCGAGTTGAAGTCTCAAGGAAATTTGCATATTCGAAGCGTAAAAAAGAATAATTTCTAAGAAAATGTTCTAATCTGGAACTCACACAATGCATCTAAACCGTTCCAGTACCAATTTGCATTCAAGTAAATCCGATAGATCCATCGAGTTGAAGTCTCAAGGACATTTCCATATTCGAAGCTTAAACAAGAATAATTTCCAAGAAAATCCTTTATTCTGGAGCTCACACGAAAAATCAAAACCAAAATTGCAGGGTGCTTTCAATATTTTTATGCGTCGTGAGCCACATTTCTATATTTATGTGATTGTCTTCCCGTGTTTCATTCTTTCTTTTTTATCGATTATTGGAATGTTTTGCTCAAGAAATCGGAAAGAAGATCAATTGATTAAGGTAAACAAATCGGGAATTCTTAATCTTAAGCATCATCTTGACTGAACCGATTTGTTTTGAGTCAACGTCAAGCCAAGAATCACCCCAATACCAATGCCAGGGTCAGGGCCAGGGCCAGGCCCAGGGCCCATGCCAGGTCCAGAGCCAGGGCCAGGGTCAGGTCCAGGTCCAGATCCAGGTCCAGGGCCAGGTCCAGGGCCAGGGCCAGGTCCAGGGCCAGAGCCAGGGCTAGGTCCAAAACCATGATCAGGGCAAGCGTCAGACCAAGATTAGAGTGGCTTGGAATGAAAAGAAATGGGTAATTGTTAATCTTAAGCAATCTTAATGTTGGCTGATCCGGTTTGTTTTAAGTTAAAGCCAAGTCAAGGATCAGGTCAAAACTAAGGGCAGGGTCAGGGCCAGTGCCAATGCCAGAGTCAAGGCCAATGCCAGGGCCAGAGTCAAGGCCAATGCTAGAGTCAGGGCCAATGCCAGATTCAAGGTCAATGCCAGAGTCAGTGCCAATGCTAGAGTCAAGGCCAATGCCAGAGTCAGGGCCAAGGCCAGGGTCAGGTCCAGGGCCAGGTCCAGATCCAAAACCATGACCAGGACAAGCTTCAGAAGATTAGAGTGGCTTGGTCTAGCTAATCAGTAAAAAACCGGCTTCTAGAACATCAAAACAACACAAAAATCTAGCCAAGATCATTTTCCAGCTCTCAATTGGTTTAACAAGTCTAATGTCGATTGCTGTTCTTTTGCAAATCGTTACTGATTCGATTCCGAAAAGTAAAACGTTCCCATTGCTTGGTGAGTTGATTCAGTAATCAAAAATGATCTCTCAAAAGCCTTCAGGCGTTTACGCGATTGTTTGCGTGTTCATTATCGCTTGCGGATGCGCTGTTTTGATCACAATCCCGCGATCAATCGACGAGCCGATTCTGAAAAAATACGAACAACACAGGTAGGTCAAAACATGAAAAAAATAACAAAATAAAATGACAGACCGGAAAATCGTTGGTTTACGTGTGGTGACATCCAGATTGATGAAAAAGTTCAAAATATTTCAATTTTGAAGAGCTAAAGACGATTTTAAGCCTTGTACTCTTTCGGGGGTACGGTATTTTTTCAATTCTCGGGCACCTTTTAGCAAACAACCAGGAAATGTGTAGTGACATCCAGATTGGAGGAAAAGTTCAAAATATTTCATTTTTGAAGAGCTAAAGACGATTTTAAGCCTTGTACTCTTTTGGGGGTACGGTAGTTTGTTCGTCCTTGTGCACCTTTTAGCAAACGACCAGGAAATGTGTAGTGACATCCAGATTGATGAAAAAGTTCAAAATATTTCAATTTTGAAGAGCTAAAGACGATTTTAAGCCTTGTACTCTTTCGGGGGTACGGTATTTCTTCAATCCTAGTGCACCTTTTAGCAAACGACCGGAAAATGTGTAGTGACATCCAGATCGATGAAAAATTTGAAAATATTTTATTTTGACAATGCTGGGGAAGATTTAGAGCCCTGTACTATTTCGGGGGTTGATTGTAGCACCTCGATGTTCAGAATTGAGTCAAAATTACTTAAATCCGGACGTGGCTAGGGCTGAGTTGGTTGGCTTGTCCCGAAATGCCCATTCAATTTATCTGGACTCATTATCTTTAGGTTTAGCTAGTCTGAACATGATGGGACGCCGATTTTCTCATTTCCAATCAAACTTTAAGCTCAAGTTTCTTGCCATTGAGCTGATTAATTTCAATAGTTTTACTACCAATCAATAGAGAAATATAAAAGGACGGACGGGGCGCGTATAAAAGCTCTCACAGTGGCCCCGCCCCTTTTCCCATTGGCAAACTTTGAGCTCAAATTTCTCGGTGTTGGGCTGGCCAATTTCAATGGTTTTACTACCAATCGATAGAGAAAGACTTGACGAATCTAATGATACCAAGAACATTTTAATCGGACAGCCCAACACCGAGATATTTGAGCTTAAAGTTGGATCGGGAAAATTGCTAATTGGGAATTTCGAGACTGGTTTTAAATATAAAGAAAAGATAAAGAAACATGTTTTCTTTTTCAGCTCTAGTCTCCTCCATCTTCTCCATCTTCTCCATCGTCTCTCCAAACCACACATCATTTGGCATCTCTTTTTCCAAACGGCAAATCTTATAAATTTGATCATATTCTTCTCGTATTGGTGACTGAATATAGATTCATTCAATTTTCTCATACAAATAAAAAAATGACAGTTAAACTTTGTTGTGACTTCCAGAATCACCAAAAATATCGACTAAATGCGGATTCGATAATTTTAAGCAAACTTTTTCAAGCCAAGCCTTATGCTAGCTACAGTAAAAAGGTTCAGTTACAATAAAAAGGTTTAAATTTCAAGCTTAATCTTTGTTGTGACTTCCAGAATCACCGAAAATATCGACTAAATTGAAATTCGATAATTTTAAGCAAACTTTTCCACTACCAAGTCCTACATGGCCCTTGTACTGATTTCAGTTACAGTAAAAAGGTTTAAATTTCAAGCTTAATCTTTGTTGTGACTTCCAGAATCACCAAAAATATCGACTAAATGGCGATTCGATAATTCTAAACAAACTTTTCCACCACCAACTCCTACATGAGTCTCAATTTTGACTTTTTCAGTCTAAAAGGTCAAAATTTTCAGCTTAATCTTTGCTGTGCGTTCCAGAATAGCGAAAAAATCATAAAAGAACAGAAACTAGATGATTCTATAGGGGAAAAGTCGGGGGTGAGCAAACTTTGGAATTTGAGATGTTTGGGGAAAGGAAAAGTTGATTCGAAAACATTTCCCCAATTGGGTGCGCACTCAAAAAAGGTAATGGTTGAAGGTTTTTCTCTTAAACTCCTTAATATCTATTCTTTTTTCTTTATTTTAAAATCTCTACAAAGCGAACGTTTACATTTGGAAAACTCGAATATTACAGGTTTTAAAAATCGCAATTTTTTTTTATTAAATTTAAATTTCAGACAATTATGCAAATTTTCTAATCAATTCCGATCGATTATTTCAATTTTTGTTTATTGCAAATAATTATACAAAGGAATTATCACCGATTTATGTTAGAGGCTCGAAAGGTCAGTTCGAAGAGATTGAGGAATGGTTGAGGAATGGTTGAGGAATGGTTGAGGAATGGTTGAGGAATGGTTGAGGAATGGTTGAGGAATGGTTGGGGAATGATTGAGAAGAGACAGGTTGAGGAATGGTTGAGGAATGGTTGAGGAATGGTTGAGGAATGGTTGAGGAATGGTTGCGAAAGGTTGAGGAATGGTTGAGAAGAGACAGGTTGAGATGCTTTGAATTTCATTGGATAGAGGAGAGTTTGACGCATCGAATGAAACCAAAAACAGCTCAATTGATAAATTGTGCGTCGAGAAAAACGCAAAATGCTTCTGGCAAGGCACTCACAATGTATTTGAATGACTCAAAAGTCATTCTGAGTATAGGTGTGACGCAGGGCAATTCCCGGTCGCGAATCACGGACTAGCACAGGCCTACGATCTATTCCACGCATTTTACCATCCCCTAGACTTAGACTTAGACTTAGGCTTAGTTCTGGAACGCACACTAGCTAATGGAGAGGTTTTTCTCTGTAGAACATAACAATTTTGGTTGGTTCAATTACGCAATTCTGAGTTCATCAAGAAAAGTTCTTGAATTTGGCTGGATTTTGAAAAAAGTTTTATTGGCATTTGTGTTCTGGAACGCACACTAGCTACTGGATAAGTTTCAACTGTAGGACGTAAAAATTGACTGGTTCAGTTACGCAATTTTGAGTTCGCTAAGAAAAGTTCTTGAATTTGGCTGGATTTTGAAAAGTGTTTTGTTGAGACTTGCATTCTGGAACCCACACTAGCTACTGGATAAGTTTCAACTGTAGTACACAAAAATTTTGGTTGGTTCAATTACGCAATTTTGAGTTCGCTAAGGAAAGTTCTTGAATTTGGCTGGATTTTGAAAAAAGTTTTATTGGCATTTGTGTTCTGGAACGCACACTAGCTACTGGATAATATTCATGTAACAAAATGATCTTTCAGATTTAAATTCGACATTTCCCCGTTTCAACGTGATAATTAACTTGAACTTCGTAAAACTTCTTGACGTTGTTAGTAATGAAATGGAATGGATAAAAGAAAGAGAAATTTCAGGACGAAGAACAACAAATGTTCACTTGTTTAAGCGAATTTTTAATGGTTTATCGAAATTTTGAATTTTTAAAAAAAATTTAGACTTGGACGGATCCAAGGCTGGCTTGGAATCCAGAACAATTCGATCGAATTGATGAAATTTTCGTGAATCCTGCAGAACTTTGGCAACCTGAAGACAATTTGTACAATAGGTAAGCAAAAAAGAAAAGCAAAAAAGCAAAAAAGGTTGGTTCAGTTACGCAATGCTGAGTTCGCTAAGAAAAGTTCTTGATTTTGATTGAATTTTGAAAAAAGTTTTGTTGAGACTTGCATTCTGGAACTCACACTAGCTACTGGATAAGTTTTACCTGTATAACTTTCAATTTTGGTTGGTTCAATTACGCAATTCTGAGTTCATCAAGGAAAGTTCTTGAATTTGGCTGGATTTTGAAAAAAGTTTTGTCGAAACTTGCCTTCTGGAACGCACACTAGCTAATGCATAAATTTTTCCCGTAAAACATTGCAATTTTGGTTGGCTCAATTACGCAATTCTGAGTTCACTGAGAAAAGTTCTTGATTTTGATTGAATTTTGAAAAAAGTTTTGTTGAGACTTGCATTCTGGAACTCACACTAGCTACTGGATAAGTTTCAACTGTAGAACTTCCAATTTTGGTTGGTTCAATTACGCAATTCTGAGTTCGCTAAGAAAAGTTCTTGAATTTGGCTGGATTTGGAAAAAAGTTTTGTTGAGACTTGCGTTCTGGAACGCACACTAGCTACTGGATAAGTTTCAACTGTAGAATCTAAAAATTGACTGGTTCACTTACGCAATTCTGAGTTCTCTAAGAAAAGTTCTTGATTTTGATTGAATTTTAAAAAAACTTTTGTCGAAACCTGCGTTCTGGAACGCACACTAGCTAATGGAAAGGTTTTGAGTGAAGAATAATGATTTCTTTTCAGCGCAACAATCAAAGAAGTCTATCCACCCGAGATTAAAACGGCAAAGATCAAATCATCAGGAAAAGTGTCACTTCTGCGGAAACAATATCTCGAGAGTTACTGCTGGATGGAGGATGTGAGCGGGGGAAATTCTTTAGCTCTTTTGTAAACGCTGTCTTTCTAGCGCGCTCAATCTTGTGCACTAGAAAGGCCGGGTTTCCAGAGGTTTTAAGCACAAAGTACTCTAAGTACACAAAGTACAAAGTACTCTAACAGTTCAGATCGGGGTTTTCCCTTTTGATCACGAGATTTGCAGTCTCTTTTTCATGGTTTATTCTTATGATTATTTCGATGTCTCGATCACAGTCAGCTGCAATTCTTTTGATTTTGGCGAATTTGCGGCAAGTTATTTACTGATTCACTGTTCTGGATGCGAGAAAGTCTATAGCAATCTATAGGAGGCTATAGGAGTCTATAGGAGTCTATAGGAGTCTATAGGAGGCTATAGGAGGCTATTGCAGTCTATAGGAGTCTATGGGAGTCTATAGGAGTCTTTAGCAGTCTGTAGCAGTCTAGAGGAGGCTATTGGAGTCTATAGGAGTCTATAGCAGTCTATAGCCGTCTATAGCAGTTTATAGGAGTCTATAGCAGTCTATAGAAGTCTGTAGCAGTCTAGGGCAGTCTAGAGCAGTCCATAGGAGTCTATAGGAGTCTATGACAGTCTATAGAAGTCTGTAGCAGTCTATATCGGTCTATAGCGGTCTATAGGAGTCTATGGCAATCTATAGCAGTCTATAGAAGTCTATAGGAGTCTATAGAAGTCTGTAGCAGTCTATAGGCGCAGTCTATAGCAGTCTATAGGAGTCTATAGCAGTCTATAGCAATTTATAGCAAACTATAGCAATCGTAATTTCCATTCAAGAATCACTGCTAACCGCCAATTTACAATCATCACCTATTTAGGGGAATAGTGAATGGTATGCTGAGAATATCACGTGTAAATTAGAATTCTACGATGATGGAGAATATGCGAAAGCTTACGAATCGGTTAGTTTTGTACATTGGCACATTGAAATCTCGAAACTTCTTACACAGCAGTGAGCGCCAGAAAAGGTGCGTTTCCATTTAGCGCAAAGTGCATCCAAAACTTGTTCATTATATAGTGTGCCTTCCAGGATGCAAACTTTGTTAGACAAGTATAGCAAAAGTAGCCATTCTAGCCCTGTTTTCTTAGTGAACTCCTTCGTGCACCAGAAGAGCTTTGTTTACACGTGAACAAAATGCCCCAAATTTGTTCATTAGATAGTGTGCGTTCCAGAATGCAATCTTTATTAGATAAGTATATTAAAAATAGCCATTCTAAGCGATGTTTTCTTAGAGAACTCCTTCATGCACTAGTGTGCTTACAAATTTTGAGCACAAAGTAAGCTCAAAACTTATTCATTGTATTCTGTGCCTTCCAGGATGCATCTAAGACAACTGAAATTTCAAATTCTAGGCAGAATTCAATCTTTTCCTCCGTCGTCAACCAAATTTCTATCTTTTCGTGATTGTTTTACCATGTTTTTTCTTAACTCTTCTATCAGTGGGCGGATTATTTTTCAGCAAAAATCGAATGGAGACTCAATTGGATAAAGTAAATACAGTAATCTAAAAGAATTCTATCAAATCTTGTAGATAATGTTGGGTCTATCAAGTCTAATGTCAATAGCTGTTTTGTTGGATATTGTTGGAGAGGCGATTCCAAGAAATCAAACGTTTCCATTGATCGGTGGGAATCGGAAGTGGATCGGAATTGGATCGGAATTGGATCGGAATTGGATCGGAACATTGGAATCGGATCAGCTCAGCTCAAAAGCTCGAATCCTTCCGATCGAATCTTTTATTTGGTCCTAAATGTTCTCGAAGTCAAGATGTAAAAGTTGAATCAACTTAAGGTCACTTTTATTATGTGACTGAGATTTATTACTGAAGTTATAGACTGAAATCGTCTACAACTCAAGATCTAAGAGTTGAATCAACTTAAGGTCACTTTTATTAGAATCTACATTAAATTTGAGTAAAGAAATATAGAATTTGTTTTATAGACTTACCGATAAAAACATCGAGAAAATTGGAGTCAAAGTCTAGATAAGTGTTTACCTTATTTTGAAGTTCTTTACCGCATTTGCCCCATTTCCCCATTTCCCCATTTCCCCATTTCCCCATTTCCCCATTTCCCCATTTCCCCATTTCCCCATTTCCCCATTTCCCCATTTCCCCATTTCCCCATTTCCCCATTTCCCCATTTCCCCATTTCCCCATTTCCCCATTTCCCCATTTCCCCATTTCCCCATTTCCCCATTTCCCCATTTCCCCATTTCCCCATTTCCCCATTTCCCCATTTCCCCATTTCCCCATTTCCCCATTTCCCCATTTCCCCATTTCCCCATTTCCCCATTTCCCCATTTCCCCATTTCCCCATTTCCCCATTTCCCCATTTCCCCATTTACCCATTTACCCATTTACCCATTTACCCATTTACCCATTTACCCATTTACCCATTTACCCATTTACCCATTTACCCATTTACCCATTTACCCATTTACCCATTTACCCATTTACCCATTTACCCATTTACCCATTTACCCATTTACCCATTTACCCATTTACCCATTTACCCATTTACCCATTTACCCATTTACCCATTTACCCATTTACCCATTTACCCATTTACCTTAGGTTACCCCATACCTAGCCCAATTGGACCAAATAAAAGCTTTGTAAAATAAAAGCCGATTCCCATGTTACGATAAAGTTTCTCTATTGGGGCGGTTATAACCGACAAGTACCAATAATAATAAGCTACTTGTCGGTTATACATCCACAAAGACTCATCTCGGTCAAGCATCCCCATGCTAGTCTTCTCGGTTATCGATTTTCGTTTGACTGATTGACTGATCGTCTGGTTAACTGATCGTCTGGTTAACTGATCGACTGGTTCACTGGTCGGTTGATCGACCGATCACTTGAGAGGGGTACTTGTCGGTTATACATCCACAAAGACTCAACTCAACTTAAGCAAGAAGTTGACAACTTGTCCTCACATCTGAGCGGTGATAGTAAAGTAGAGTACTCGTCTGAAGTGAGTTGATCAGTCGATCAGTCGATCAGAACGAAAATCGTTATTGGCTAAAACTATTAAACCAGATAGAATAGTTAGATCTCCCAATCTGTGAGGAGGATAGAGGATACCCACAACTCTAATTTATTGCCATATACGATAACAAAGAAGCAAACTTCTATCTAACAAAGAAATGCCTGAAGTAGAGTGCTTCTGAAGTGATCAGTCAAACGAAAATCGATAACTGAGAAGATGGGGATGACTAGAGTTCAGCTCGGTTAAGCAGCTTAACTGAGCCTGAGCCTGAGCAGCTTAAGCAGCCGGTTAAGCAGCTTAACCGGCTTTAGTCTCTGTGGATTTATAACCGACAAGTACCCTCTACTTTACAATACTTTAGCTATCAAGTCTAGTTGTTCAAGAATAGTTTTCCTTAACTTCTTCAGGGATTTACATCACTGTTTGCGTCTCGATTATTGCCGTTGGATGCGTGATTTTGTTGTGGATGCCATTCGTGAAAGATTTACCACTTCAAGAGATTAAAAAGAAAAAGTAAGGGAAAATTGATTCAAAATTGATTTAAAAGATTTAAAATTGATTTAAAAGATTCAAAAGATTCAAAATTGATTCAAATTGGTTCAAATTGGTTCAAATTGATTCTAATTGATTCTAATTGATTCTAATTGGTTCAAATTGGTTCTAATTGGTTCTAATTGATTCTAATTGGTTCAAATTGATTCTAATTGATTCTAATTGATTCTAATTGATTCTAATTGGTTCTAATTGGTTCTAATTGGTTCAAATTGATTCTAATTGATTCTTATTGATCCAAAATTGATTCAAAATGATTAAAATTGATTCTAATTGATTCTAATTGGTTCTAATTGGTTCTAATTGGTTCAAATTGATTCTAATTGATTCTAATTGGTTCTAATTGGTTCTAATTGATTCTAATTGATTCTAATTGATTCTAATTGATTCTAATTGATTCTTATTGATCCAAAATTGATTCAAAATGATTAAAATTGATTCTAATTGATTAAAATTCATTAAAATTCATTAAAATTCATTCAAAACTAAACAAATAACAATCCTAATTCATTGGAAATGAAGCTTCCGCCAACGAGGCCTTTTCAGCTTCCTCCAACGAATCCTATCCATAATCTCCCGACCGAACATCATTTTACTCGGAATCTTTCAAGGATTAAACGTCATCAATATCATTGTTTTCTTCTCGTTTTGGCGAACAGATCGTATAAAATGACGGTAGCCATTCCTTGACAATAAAAAATTCAAATTTTAAATTTTCTTAAAGTTTTTTTGGAGTTGAAGTTTGAGTTAAATAAATTTTTGCATAAACCACACTAATTTCCAAGAAAATCCTTTGTTCTGGAACTCACACTATGTGTCTAAACCGAATTTCCAGAATAAATTTGCATTTAAAATCCGATAGAATTGTCGAGTTGAAGTCTCAAGGAAATTTGCATATTCGAAGCTTAAACAAGAATAATTTCCAAGAAAATCCTTTGTTCTGGAACTCACACAATGCATCTAAACCGAATTTCCTTAAGAAATTTGCATTTAAAATCTGATATAACCATCGAGTTGAAGTCTCAAGGGAATTTGCATATTCGAAGCGTAAACAAGAAAAATTTCTATGAAAATCTTCTAATCTGGAACTCACACAATGCATCTAAACGGAATTTCCATAAGAAATTTGCATTTAAAATCTGATAGAACCATCGAGTTGAAGCCTCAAGGAAATTAGCATACTTGAAACGTAAACAAGAATGATTTCCAAGAAAATCCTTTATTCTGGAACTCACACAATGCATCTAAACCGTTCCAGAACCAATTCACATTCAAGTAAATCCGATAGAATCGTCGATCGTTAACAATAAAAAATTCAAATTTTAAATTTTCTTGAAATTTGAGTTAAATAAATTTTTGCATAAACCACACTAATTTTGTTTTCTAAAAACCTTTTGTGACTTCCAGATAACCCAAAAATTTTATTTGATTCATAAAATTTGATTCTTGACGATCACTATTGGAGTCGATTTTTGATCGAATGTCATTTCCTTTGATGCTTACTCTAAAATAGACAAGAAAAGAAGCTTTTTGGCTTATCTGGAACGCACAGCATATTTTTAATCGAAAAAAATGAAGCTAGAGAATTCTAGAGTAAAAAGCTTACAATTGCTGGAGGTAGTCATAAAGTCTACAGTAGTCTATAGTACTCAAATTGTGACAGAAAGTCTGTTGTGCGTTCCAGATTGATCAAAAATCTTCTTTTCATAAAGCCTACATGTTTTCAAGTCTACTTTATAGTCGGTTTATGTTCTTTTTCAAATGGGGTGATCTCTGTCTTGAAAAGATCAGTCAGAGAATCGAATTGTTGTTGCTTTTCCTCTCTAAATCTCTTCACTCATCCATTTTTTCGTTTTCTGTGCATTTTCTTCTTTCTACAGCTGTATTTGTGAAAAGAAAGCGGTGAAATGATTGATTTTTTTGGATGTTTCCTTTAGCTTTTATATATTTAAAGCTTTTTAAAAGATATTCAGTTATTTATTGATATAACTTATATGTTTATTGATAACTTTGTAATTGTTTATTGATATATTGATGTTTTTTGATATAACTTATATATTTAAAGCTTTTTAAAAGATATTCAATTGTTTATTGATATAATTTTCTATATTTATTGATATATTTCTTCAATTTTCAAAGAATCTTTCAAATCTATTTTCATTTTTTTCGCTTTCTTTTATTTAATTAAAAGTTTAAGCTCTTCAAATTCTATTATTTCGTTTTCTATTGTTTTCTATCTTTTTACAAACAATAACTTTATTTACCTTTTAGAATGGATCGAATACTTCGCGGTGTCATCAAATACAATAAAACTGTCAAAAAGGATTTGGTTGAACAATTTAAACGAATAAGAGATAATCCAAATGTGAGTTTTTTTAAAAACCTTGATAATCAACTAAGAAAGGAATGATTAGAAGTAACCATTAAGTTGTGGATAACGTTTTGGATAAGTGATATCTCATTTAATAGATCTAATGATGAATAAATTAGCTGCTAACTCTACAACAAAAAATTAACTGCTAACTCTACCATGAGAAATGGGGACCGACAAGAAACAAACGTTTTTAAATCTTGACATTTTAGACTTTGACAAAGATGGAACTTTTTATTGAATCAATATTTCTAAATAATCTCTTTTGTATGTAATAAAACTTGAGTGAAGCTAAAAAAATAGTAAATTAGATTCCTAAAGGATTTATAAAATGATATTTAAAAGCGATTGATAGCTAAAGCTAAAGCTCTCAAAGCTAAAGCTAAAGCTCTCAAATCCAAAGCTCTGAAAGCTAAAGCTCTGAAAGCTAAAGCTCTCAAATCTAAAGCTCTCAAAACTAAAGTTTTTTGTTGTTTTTTTTATTTAAAGAGTTTTTATGTTATAGAAGCTTGTTTCTATAATTAATAAGTTTATCTTTTTAGTTTCTTTCAAGTTTTATCACATTTAAAAAAGATTGATTCAATAAAAAGTTCCAATCCAGTCAAGGAGGGCGTAATTAGATTTTGCTCGTTGTAGATTGACTCTTGGCAACTAATTTCTGTTTTAGACATACAATATTCATGATTAGACGTGATATCACAAATCCCAAACAGTCACAGACACTTCTGGCCATTCCCTTGTAAGCAAAAATACCATGAGATTCAGCCAATTGCTGTCATGTTCACTTGTATGGACTCTCGCATGTTGCCCACTCGTTTCACACAATCGGCTGTCGGAGATATGTTTGTGGTGAGAAATGCTGGCAATCTTGTACCCGATGCGCTTAACTATGGTTTGTTGAATGGAAGGAACGAATTTAGACACGAAAAATTCGTTTTTAAAAAGTTTTTTTCGTAGCATTAGCTTATCTGGAATGCACAACGTAATTTCAAAATAAAAAATAGAATTTTTGGCTATTTGGAATAGCCAAAATATTTTTCGATAGAAAAGGTTGACATTCTGGAATGCAGAATGAAATTTCGGAATAGAAAATGAAATTTTTATGTTATCTGGAAGGCACAAGAGATTATCGGATAGAAACGAACGAGAGAATTTCGATAGAAAAAGTTGAACAATTTTAAGCACGAAAGATTCGTTATTAAAAAGTTTTTTTATTCGCATTTGCTTATCTGGAATGCACAAGAGATTTTTAAATAGTAAGAGTTGAATTCTAGGTGAATCCTCGGAAGTGAGTGTTACAACAGAACCGGCAGCACTTGAATTAGCGGTGAAACGAGGAGGGATAAAACATGTGATCGTTTGTGGTCATGCTGATTGTAAGGTGACTATTGCGGTTACCTTCAAATACTATTTACATACTTTATCTAACAATAATTACTGCACGACTTTGAGCTACTGTAGATCAGTTACTGTGGATCAGTTACTGCAGATCAGCTACTGTAGATCAGCTGCTGTAGATCAGCTACTGTAGATCAGCTGCTGTAGATCGATCAGCTACTGTAGATCAGCTGCTGTAGATCGATCAGCTACTGTAGATCAGCTGCTGTAGATCGATCAGCTGCTGTAGATCGATCAGCTACTGTAGATCGATCAGCTGCTGTAGTTTGATCAGCTGCTGTAGATCAAGCAGCTACTGTAGATCGATCAGCTGCTGTGGATCGATCAGCTTTATCTAAAAGTAGTTCAATTCATTTTCAGGCGATGAATCTTTTACATGATCTTCATTTATGTCCAAAAGAATTCGACGCCTGTTCGCCGATGGACAATTGGGTACGCAACAATGGTTATAAGTCTATACAGAGGTCAGCAAATGGTAAAGATCAAAAGTTTTCTTCTGTTAAAGATCAGTTTTCTTCTGGTAAAGATTTCCAAAATCTTGTTCAGACTAAACGAACGATTGCATAGTGGCTCAAAATCAATTCCATTTCATTCACTTGTCTCCCCATCACAATCATTTGAAGCACTCATTGATCCATTTGATAAACTCCATATTCATGACAAATTGTCACAGGTTTGAAACTGGCACTTGGCTGGCGGGACTTGACTATTTTATTATTATTATTATTATTATTATTTTAGATAAACGTACTTCAGCAAATGATTAACATCACTTCTCACGAGTTTTTGAAAGAATATTTAGAGGTAAGGACCAAAAATGAAATTGAGTTTATGCAAATTTTTAGAGTGGAAAACTTTTCATTCATGGAATGTGGTTCGATATCTATAAAGGAGACGATTATCTCTTTAGCAAGGATAAGAAACAATTTGTCAATATTGAGGTGAGCTAAGACTTTATCTGTGCGCTCCAGGATAGGCAAATTTAAAAACGGCACTTGATTTGTCTTACGCGTTCCCCGGGGAATTCTTCCAATCTTGAATCGACGTCAACACAAAATTTCGGCCATTGCAAAATGGCTTATTTTATCTAGTAATAAACTTTTATGCGCTCCAGAATAGGCAAATTTAAAATCAGAATCTAAATAGCATGACGCATTCCCGTGGAATTCTTCCAATCTTGAATCTCCGTCGATACAAGTACAACGATCCCAAGCTAAAAGTAACGCTAAAATAGCTTCATTCTCTATACTGCGCTCCAGGATCTACAAATACTTAAAAGTTACTGTAAAATGAAATTCTTAAAGCATCAAAACCTAGGAGTCAACGATCACCGAGCTGATGTCCGAGTTGGAACGACGATGCGGGAAATCGATTATGGATAGCTTCGTGAAAGTGGAGGAAAATTGATAATTTTTTATCAAAAACGTGATTTAAATGTTAGTACTAGGATTTTTGAATTTTTCTCTGTAAGAGCTTACTTTGTTCACTTTTTGAGTGCATTTCTCAAGATTTTTGCCATGATTTTCTATGAAGATGCGGGTATTTCGGATATAAAGAGTTATTGATTATTGTACATGGTACACTGTTGTAGCACTCGAATTTGCGCTTGATTCCTTGGGCTTGTTTCCTTGGGCGGGATTAAGACGCATTGGTTCTTGGCAATTAAGAAATTTCCGGTTCACCCATAGCACTCCCCGCTCCGATAGCCACTCGTAAAACTCATCATTGGTCTTGGCTTTGAGCTTTGGCCAAGATTAGACGACCGGTAAAAAGATTAGACGACTTAAGATTCAACCTATTAACTCAGCTATTCTTGTCATCTAAAAAAGAAAATGAGAAATGTAAGCAAGCAAGAAAACATGGGAAAACAAGAAGAAACAAGTCGCAAACAGGTTCTGAAAATATCACCAATCGAAATCGAACAAAAAGGCTCATCAGTCATATTACCGTATTTTCTCTAATAGCACAGTCATGGACAAAAGTCTTTTAACGTTGGTTTTTAGAAGTTTGTTCTTTGTATAACTTGATCCAAATCCGACCAATTTGCAAACGGTTAAAAGATTTAAAGAACTTATTACCTCTAATTATCTCTAATTTTAACATTACAAAAAGATGGATTCAATGATTTATAATATGTCATGAACTTTTTAATAAAACAAATTTGAGCCATAAATTGATGGGCAGTCTTTTAACATGTGAGAAAAACATTATGAAAATCAATACTTAGTAGGTCCTCCGCGAGCCGCAATTACTGCTTGAATTCTCCTTGACATGCTGTCAACCAGATCACGTAGAATTTAGGGTCCAATAGTTGTCCAGACTCGACGGATGAAGTACCAAAGCTCTACTTTTGATCCGAATAGTTTCCCCTTCAATTTCGACTTCACAAACGCCCACAAGTTCTCGATCACATTCAAATCAGGATTATAGGGAGGAGCAGACACAAGTTGAACACGGTTTGCTTTAAACCATCCTGGCACCAGAGCCGTTCCTCCATTGGCGAGTCGAACACGGCGTCCCATCAGCAGCTGTGACTTGTGGCACGGGACAACAGCCAACCTTGGCCCGTTTGCGTCCTGGTACAACAACCAACCTTGGCCAGTTTGCGGTCGAAAACGGTAGAAGATCATTCTCCAGAATCGTCTTGTAGCGTTGAGCATTCAGCGTTAAATTTAGAAGGACGAGTGGGCCCAGTGAATTTCTGGACATTGCTCCTAGAAATCAGCAAATCAGTAGGCACAAAATACAAAGGTTCTTACCTGCATAGCGTGATCGATCCACCACCAAATTTAACTGTAGGACGCAAGGATTTATTGTTATAACGTTGTCCGACTGGTCTCCGTATCAAATGATTGCCATCAGGGGCGAAAAGATTGACTTTCGAATCGTCGGTGAACACAACATTGACCCAATCATGCGACGTCCAACTTTGATACTTCTTAGCAAACTCGAGACGAAGCTTTCGGTCCTTAGCTACCATCAGAGGTTTCTTGGCGGTCCTTCTAGTCATCAAACCAGCGTGAATCAGGCGTTGACTCACTGTTTTTCGAGAATTTTTTTTGTTAAATTGTTGCTTCCATAGCCACGCCATCAGATTTGGGTTCTTCATGTGGGCCAGAACGAGCGCATTGTCTTCTCGTAGAGTTGTAACTGGTGGACTTCCACTGATGCGCGATAAACGTTTCCCGCGAGTTTGGCCCTGGAGACAACAAGCGATACAGTTGTTTCGGTACAGCGGAAGAGCTCAGCCACGGCTTTTCTAGACATTCCATTTTTTCGAGCTTCGACGATTTTCTCTTTGTCAGAAGTTGATAAGTAGGTGTCGGGCCTCTAAAATATTACAGTTAGCAACCAGAAATCAAAAGGAAAAAGACAGAACAAGAAGAAATTTCTCGAAAAAACTGTGATGACTTTTGTCCCTCGATTTTTGGCAAAATTTTTGTTTTTTAAGAAGCTCATGACATATTATAAATCATTGAATCGATCGCTTTGCTAATGCTAAAACTAGTGATAATAAGCTCTTTAAATCTTTCAACCGTTTTTGCAAATTGGTCGAATTTGGATCAAGATATACAGTGGTCCACAAATACAACCCTGTTAAATTGGTCCCTCATCATTTGGCTTCCATCGGTTGGTGTTTTGTTAGGATCGTTTTTCACCATTTGGATCACGGCTCGATCTTCTTTTGTGGTTGTGATTGGTCGTCGGCCACTCTTGAGGCCTCGATGAAGGTTTCGGTCGACTTTTGATTGAGAAAGAATGCGGCGCACCGTCCTTCTCGAGCAATTGAAGAGGTTGGCCACATCCTTTTCCCGCATCCCATTTTCCCGGACCTTGGCGATTCGGAGTGTCAAGGTTTTTCTTGCCAGCCATCTAAATAATAAAATAAAATACATTTAATGTTCATAGAACGCGAAAATAAAAAGAATAATCAAGGAAAACATCAATGGAGACATTTTTACTTTTGTGGAGCTATTTGTTAAGTAACTTATTGTTTTTGTTTTATACTTTAATTTTTCTGCAATGTATACGGATAAATCTTATAATCCTGAAAAGTAGAGTGTTATGGGTAAGCAAAATACCCTACACTTTTTGGGAATATCGTTATTTTGCAAAATTTTCGTACGAAAGAAACTTTTGGATGGCAATGGGACAATACTTTTGTGGACCACTGTAACTAAAATTAAGTATAACTGAAGAGTACTCAAATTTGAAGCAAATGAAAGTCAATCAAACATGAAAGCAGATTACCGTATTTTCTCTAATAGTAGCGCACCCCGGCGAGCCCCGAGTTGGTGACCATTTTACGGTTTCCAAGCTTTTGCAGAAGCTCAACACTCTAATCCCCACTAGATCTAATCGTCAGCTACATTTTCCGTCCCCACATCGATAGGTTCTGATAAAAATCGATAGGTTCTGCGGTTCTCGAGATTTCGAGCAATTTAGGCGACGCTCAGGGTGCATTTCTATTAGAGAAAATACGGTATCTATGCAAATTGATCATAGATATCAGCTACGAAAAGTGGGAAATGGAAAATTGACCCTCCAGTGACAAGTTCGCTAGGTAAAACTGTAAAATTTTGCACCGGTTTGGCCTTTTTCAGCAAAAAAGGCCAATTCTTGAAACTCTTGCATACTCGTTTAGCCGATTGCTCACGAAAAAAGAGGTGCTAGCAAAAGCAAAGCGCCAAATTATCTGTTCCAAATTCTTTGCGCCAAAAATTCTTGCGCCAAATTTGCACTTTTCAGCACACTTTCCTGCCAACTCTGATTAACCATTTATATTTTTTTTAGTTTTCCTATTTTGCCGCCTTCACCGGATCTAAAAATGGCATAAGATCTATATAGAGAGTAAAAAGCCCAATTGGGAACACAAAAATGACTGTTTTTTGGGGGTTTGTATAGGTATTTAAACGTGTTTTCTAATTGAAAACAGTGAGAACAAAAATTGTGAAGCAGAAAACTGAAAAAAGTTTGTTAGAAGTTGGGGAAAAGTGATTTGTCATAGTGATTTTTATAAGGGCAAATTTGGTGCAAAGAATTTTGCGACAAATGACGAAAAACGCAGCGCTTTTCCTAGCACCTCCACGAAAAAATGAAATTTAAATTCACGCGAGTGGGACAAACGCGACCTTTTTTTTGCGCACCCGGACATTTGCGCACCTTTTTTTCCGCACTTAGCCCATTAGCGCACCTATTTGCGCACCTAAGCCCATTAGCGCGCTCTAAAAGCTAATATTAACCAATTTCTATTCCAAAAGTTGTTTTTCTAGGTAATTTTAGGGTATCGAATTCAAATTTTGACATAACAGAGCGTGTGGAACCAGATAAAACGACAAAACGTTTTGTCTTTGAAAGACAAAACGGCTAGATCAAATTACAGGAAATTGTCGATTTTTCTCTTTGTATAACTCCGTCCGTTTGTTTCCACAAGCTCTAATATGTCAAAATTTCGATTCTACGCCCTAAAATTACCTAATAATTGAGTATTCTCTAATTCTTGGGCTACTTTGCACCAAATTTTTTGCGCAACTGGGTCATTTGCGCAACTCGCTATAACTTACTTCTAAGTGAGCCAGTCTTTCTGCTTTTGGTTTCATTTTGTAGATCTCAATAAGTGCAACAAAATGAAACCAAAAGCATAAAGATTGACCGACTTAGAAGAAAGTTATGGCGAGTTGCGCAAAAAAAAATGCGGAAATTTGCCTACCCTTGGTTTTTTACTTGTTAAGACTGGTTTAATAAGCCCCGTCCCCTAAGGTCAAGGTCTCGCACTTCTTAAGATCTACAAAATGAAACCAAAAGCATAAAGATTGACCGACTTAGAAGAAAGTTATGCCGAGCCAAACGACCTAGTCGTTTGCGCAACTCACTATAACTTTCTTCTAAGTCAGCCAATCTTTCTGCTATTGGTTTCATTTTGTTGCACTTATTGAGATCTACAAAATGAAACCAAAAGCATAAAGATTGGCTGACTTAGAAGAAAGTTATGTTAGCGTAAATGACCCAGCAAAGGACGCTATAACTTTCTTCTAAGTCCACCCCCGTAATTCTTCGAAAAAAAATGTCATATTCTTTTCTCATTTTCGTCAAAAGTTTTGCGCGCTTCATTTTATTCCCTCCATTTCTTTCCCCGGTTTACTTTGCCTAGCTGTTCCTTTCTCCTTTTCTCTGCATTTGTTCAAAAATTCCTCTTTTCCCGCGCTCAAATTCCTCCAGGGTACCCCGTTAACGTTCTTTTTGCAGAGCAAATAGAGGATTTCATAACAATTTTGTCATAGTCAGCTTTGTCATAGACAGCTTTTTGCTTGTACTTGGCTTTACAAATGGGTTTTTACCCAAATTGACGAATCAAATAGGTTTACTGGCTGTTTCACCTGGCCCTGATCCTCTTGTTTTCGTAAAATCAGTGCTAAAACGATTCAGATTTACTCTTAACACTTCCAAGTATCGATTCTATGTTGGTCCTTAGCTCTAACTGGTCCAATTTTGCTTCTGCATACAAGATTCCAGCCGTTTTTCTTTTGTTTTCCGTTCGTAAACGTTGATTACACTTTTCTTTCAGAAAGATTCATGGATAGTGGCAATGAATCGTCGGCGGCGATGCAACCACCGCTGAATGTAAGCTTTTCAATAACATTTCAAGTTAATTTCTTTCTTTAGGTGACTACGGTGAAGCGGGAAGATCTCATAGAATACATACAATCCACAGCGGCATCGCTTTTCGGGGCCAAAAAAGGACACGATGAGTTGTCGATGATTCTGCAGGCTTCGGACGCAATTGATCGTTTCATCGCCGACGCCAAGACGAATGTACTTGTCATTGAGCGTTCTTTCTACAAAGGTTTGTTACTTTTGAAGTTCTAGTAAAGCTTTGGAGTGTAAATTTTAAGCTAAAGAACTTACGTGAGAAAGTAAATGGTACAATTACGTTTTGCATAGTTTTTTTGCCTAGACATCCATTTGCCAGAAGTAAATTTAACCTATTCAACTAGGAAAATATGGATGTAGATGATTAAAGTATGATCTAACAATTCTTTTCATTTAGAAGTCACTGATGCGGAGGGTGAAAGCGAGCAAGGAGAAGACAGTGTGATGTTCTCGGTGCGAAACGATGTCCTTTTTCGAAACGAGCGAAGTACATCCATCATCTATATTCGACGAGGGACGGTGATCGAGGCCGAGAAGCCGATTTCGGATCAAACGCAAGTGCTTGTGTAAGTGATTTTTAAATATTTAGTGGGGTGATAGAGTCAAAAGCCTGTAATTTGTAAGAAGTAATCATTTGAACTTACTAATCTGTTTATTTTAGGCTGAGCGACGGAAGCCCCTACGAAACTTTATGGGCAATCATCGGAAAAGCCGTTACTCCATACTTCAAGTCGTTCATCCGAGAAAGTGGCCGTGGAGATCGAGACGGTGACAAGTTGGCGCCAGCAGTCGAGAAGAATCTCAACGAGGCCGAAGTCGCACTTCTCCATTTGCAACAAAACATCGACATCCCGGAGATCAACCTCATCATTAATCCGCACATTCAACAGGCCATCCAACTGGCGATTGATCAGGGACGACGTGCAAAGGTTTTTAGTTAGCTTTTGTGTTTGATAATGATTTGTTTTAGATTGAGGACCTCGGAAATTTGATTGAGGACACTGACTTCTTGAATGCTCTACAAAGTGGTGTCGGTCGTTGGATCAAAGAGATTCAAAAGGTAGTCCTGCTTCACAATTTCTTAAATATTTTTTTTAGGTGACGAAGTTGGAACGTGACCCTGCTTCCGGCTCTTCACTTCAAGAGATGAACTTCTGGCTGAACTTGGAACGAGCTTTGCAGAAGATTCAGCAAAAGCGTGAAAGCGATGAGGTGCAATTCACTTTGGAGGCGTTGAAAGCCGGAAAACGATTTCACGCATTGGTCTCATTCGACTCGGACACAGGTTGAGTTGTTTTTATTAAACACTAAATACTTTTTTTACAGGATTGAAGCCAGCTATTACACAAGTTACTGATTACAACCTTTTGATGAAGGAGATGCCATTGAATGAAATCGTCTCGGCTACGGATCTTATTGGTTAGTAATGTGGTTTCGTTAAAGTAATGTTTTGTTTAGCCCTCCGTGACGCTATCGGAAATGTTTTCACTCATCTCAAGAAACTTCGATCAACAAAGTATCCAATTGGGCGGGCCCTTCGTTTTCTGGAAGCGATCTCCCGGGATTTGAACACGCAGATGATCAAGGTAAGGATTGGATATTGAAATATTCACTGGTTGATTTTAGATATTGAGTACAAGACGATTAATGCATATCTCGATCAAGGAGTTTGACCACATTATCAAGGAGGTGTTTGAAGTGTTCGCCAAATGGGACGATGAATATGATCGGTTTTTACGCTTGCCTTTTCTAATATGAATTAATTTTTAGATTGATTGCTTTGATGCGTGATTTGTCGAAGAAGAAACGAGACGAGAACACGAAGCTTTCCTTCAAGACCAACCCGGTGCATAAGAAGTTCGAGCATCGAATGACGAATATCAACACTTTCCGAAGGTATCCTAGAATTTCTTACCTTAAATTCATTTTATGCAGACAACACGATCAATTCCGTTCGGTCATTGAGAGAGTGCTCTGCCGACGACAAAAGTTGAGCGAAGGACTTCTACAGGGAAAAAGTGCGGCTCTCGAATTGAAAGATTCGACGGCAATTGAGCTGGTTGGTTTAGCTTTTTCTTTGACTTATTATGAGTGTTTTTAGATCGATCGAGCGTACGATTACGTCAAAGAAGCTGACTGCTTGGATGTTTCGCCTGAAGGGAACGCTTCGTGGGATGCTGCCCGAAATAGATACGAGGAACAAGTTAAACGCGTGGAGAACGACATCACGGCTTGTCTTCGAGATCAACTTGGAGCAGCAAAGAACGCAAAAGAAATGTTCTCCATCTTCTCCCGCTACAACGCTTTGTTCGTCCGTCCACATATTCGGTGAGAGTTGGTGTGTGTTTTGCAATAATTTAATTTCAGAGGTGCTATTCGAGCATATCAGACTCAATTGATCGACAAGGTCAAGGAAAACATCACCGAGTTGCAGGAGATCTTTGCAGCGGTACTTTGTCATTTCTTGATTTTAATGTTTTCTGCTTTAGAAGAAAAACGATCAACGCCGTCACGATCAATTGACATCTCTTCTCGACATTCAACCGCTCTCCGCTCGTATCACCTTTGTGCGGAACATCGAGAACAAGCTAAACGATTCGATGAAGAAAGTGGAATATGTTCTTGGCAAAGGATGGGAAAATCACGTTGAAGGTACAAATTTCATGTCCAACTATTAATCTGTTATCATTGCAGGCCAACAGCTGAAGAAAGAAAGCGACAATTTCCGCAAGAAGCTTGATGTCCAACCGATGCTCGACGAATGGATCAAGCACATGCACGAGAAAACCATTTCCGCATCGGCACGCTTGTTCTTGGTGGAGAAGCGAAGCAAGGATGGAAAACCTTTGTCAATTCTAAAGGTACTCACTCAACGGCTTAACAAAAACCTATTCGCTTTAGGTAAACTTCCGTGAGGACATGATTCAATTGCACAAAGAGGTCCGCTTCTTGAAGAACATATTGCAACGAGTGAACATAAAGATTGTCAATGCAGCACATCAAGCTTACCAAATCAATCCGTTAGTTTTATTAGGTTTAACTCTAATGAATTTATTTAGTTATGCGGTTGTTTTGAACGAGTCGATTCGAACATTCTACTATGTGGAGACCCAGCTTGCGGAAAGAAAGGACTTAGAGTTGCTCATCGCCTCTTCAAGAAAAGAAGTTCAATCTATTCTACTTGAGGTTGGTGCCATTAATGTTAGAAAATTTAGTTCTTGATTTTAGGGTGCTCAACTTTCGTGGGAGTCATACAAGCTCGAGCCATACGTCACCAAGATTCATCAAGCGGTCAACAAATACAGCGAGAAGTGCGAGGAATTGATGGACATCATCACGAAGATTGATGGAGCACTCGCCGCTCTTGACTCTTGCCCTTGCACGAATGAAACGGTACTCGGCTTTGGCTTTTTGGTTCATTATCAACTTGCTCATTTAGATCGCCGAACAACTAAAGATGATTCAAGAAAACGTCGATATGCTTCTCCTTGGCAGCTACTCGAACTTACAAAAATGGGTCGACGATCTGGACAAAAACGTTGGATAGCCATTTATTTTTGTTTGAATTGTGTTTTTTTAGATTGAAGCAAAGCTCGGAAAACGTGCGCAAGAGGCCATTCGTTTGTGGGCTTTGGTTTACAGCGAATCGGAAGAAATTGATGACTACAAAGAGCAAAACATTCAACTTCCACATGTCCATCCGGTTTTCATTGAGGTTACTCATTCGTTATAGTTGTGTTTACAGTTAATTTTTAGATTCGATTGACAGCACAAACAATCTACGTATCGCCATCGATTGAACAAGCACGAGCCCGCCTTTTGGAACAACTCTTCGACTGGCAATCGATTGTCACTTTGCAACCGAGAGTCTCGAGCACTCGCTTCCAGGTTAGACCTATTTCTTTGATATTTCAGGAAAGAAATTTAGTTGGCGATGAATTCTGACACCTTGGAGAAGACGTACAAAGATGTGTTGTCAGCTTTGCCTGGAGGACTAAGCGTTCTTGAGTTGGCGTATTCGACAGTTGATGCAATCATGAAAAAAGTATCAAGTTTATTGAAGAGTTTGGAAAATTGTATTTAGGTGGAAGATTACGTCGGTGAATGGCTCCGTTATCAAGCACTCTGGGATCTTCAAGCTGAGGTGCTCTACGATGCGCTTGGCAGCGATTTACCAAAGTGGATGAAGACGCTTGTCGAGATTCGAAAGAGTCGGGGCACATTTGATACAACGGTAGTAAAACTAATTAAACGATTATTTGATCAAACTATTTTAGGAAACTCAAAAGAGAATCTTCCCCGTGATCATCGATTATGTGAAGGTGCAAAGCAAGGTCACACTCAAGTACGACTATTGGCACAAGGAGGTTCTGCAGAAGTTCGGAAACGCGCTGGGTAGGATACTTTTCTTTATGGTGCTTGAACTTTTAAATTTTAGGACAAGAAATGCAAACGTTCTTCGGAAACATCTCGAAGTGGCGCGGCGAATTAGAGAATCAGAGTGTCGACTCCGGATCAACGAATGACTCCGTTCAATTGATCACCTACGTGCAAATGCTCAAGAAACAGACGAAATCTGGACAAGAACATGTCAGCTTGAACATCTCATTGGTTTTAATAGTCTCTTTATAGGTCGATCAGTTCCGGAACGCTCAACGATTGCTCAGCCAACAACGCTTCCAATTTCCCAATCAATGGCTTTACGCGGAACATGTTGACGGTGAATGGGGTGCTCTGCAAGACATTTTGATGCGCAAGGACTCGTCTATCCAAAATCAGGTTATTGTGATTAGTGGTGTCTGAGTTTACGAAAGTCTTCAGGTTGCCAATCTGCAAAGTAAAATCAAAGAGGAAGATGAGCTTGTCGAGAAGCGGACGGTTGAAACGTTGCAAGATTGGGAACGATCACGACCAATTGAAGGTGGACAAAGACCAGCCGATGCGTTGACTCTACTCACCAATTTCGAGCAACGGATGGGAAAATTACAGGAAGACCGCGACAAGATGAAAAAGGTACAAAATTAGAGGAGTAAAAATATGAAATCTTGATTTAGGCACGTTTGGCTTTGGACATGACAGAGAACACTGGTGTGCCGGCGGAAGCTGATCGACTTGTGGTCGCCGTAGAAGAGCTGAACGACCTCAAGGGCGTATGGGAGGTAAGCTTCTTTGAATTTGAGCAGCGCCAAATCTGGAATTTAGGCCTTGAAACCGTTGTACACTGAAGTCGACGAAATGAAGGACAAGACCTGGTTGAGTGTGCAGCCAAGAAAACTCCGACAAAGCCTTGACGAGTTGTCACAGAAGCTCAAAGGACTTCCCGTCAAATACAAGACCTACAAGAGCTACGAAAGTGCCAAGGAGTTGATGCAAAATTATTCGAAGGTGGGCTAATGGGTGCAAATTTATGATTGGCATATTTAGATGAACATGTTAATCACGGAGTTGAAGTCGGAGGCGCTGAAAGAAAGGCATTGGCGTTTGTTGATGAAAGAACTTCACGTCAATTGGAATCTACAAGATTTGACTCTTGGCCAAGTAAATCAAAGCTTATTTTTCAAATCTCATCAAGATTATCTTTTTAGGTCTGGGATGCAGACATTCAACGACATGAAAATGCGATCAAGCAAATTTTGTTGGTGGCCCAGGGAGAATTAGCACTGGAAGAGTTCCTGAAACAGGTAAACTAAAGCGCTAGTTGATTTATAAAATTGTGTATTTAGCTTCGTGAGTTCTGGCAGACTTACGAAGTGGAGTTGATCAACTACCAAAACAAGACTCGATTGATCAAAGGATGGGACGAACTATTCAACAAACTCAAGGAACATCAGAACTCGTTGGCTGCCATGAAGCTTTCGCCTTATTACAAGCAATTCGAGGAGGTACTTAAATCAAAGTTTCAACATTTAAGGTTTAAAGTTGCATTTTTAGGATGCATTGGCCTGGGAAGACAAGTTGAACCGAATCTCGGCTATGTTTGATGTGTGGATCGATGTTCAGCGGCGATGGGTCTATCTGGAAGGCCTCTTTAGTGGAAGTGCCGAAATCTCAACGTTGTTGCCAAACGAAAGCGCGCGATTCTCCAGGTGGGATTAAATTCTAAGTACATGCAATCTTTATTTTAGCATCTCATCCGAGTTCCTGGCGTTGATGAAGAAGGTGACCGCTGCTCCACGTATCTTGGATGTCGTCATGATGCAAGGAGCACAGCGATTGCTCGAAAGACTGGCCGAAATGCTTGCTAAGATCCAAAAAGTTTGTTTAATAAGTTTTTCTTAAAAGTTTTTCTCTTTAGGCCCTGGGAGAATATCTGGAACGTGAACGCTCGTCATTCCCTCGTTTCTACTTCGTAGGAGATGAAGATCTTCTCGAAATCATGGGCAACTCAAAGGACATTTCTCGACTTCAGAAACACTTGAAGAAAATGTTTGCCGGAGTCACATCGGTTGATCTCACTGAGGAGGATAAGAAGGTAAGCTGTCATAGTCAGTTTCTAATTTTTCAATTCTTTAGATCATTGCAATGACAAGTCGTGAAGGCGAGACGGTGGCTCTATCAACTCCAGTTTTCACACAAGGAATCCGAATCAACGATTGGCTTCGCTCGTTTGAGACTGAAATGCGTGGCACATTGGCGAAGAACCTTGCAGCTGCTCTGAAAGATTTCTCGAAGTAAGCCCCAACTTTTCCAACATCAAAAATCCTATCTTTTCAGGTTCGACATCGAAAGCGTGACACACGATCAATACATGGAATGGCTCGACAAATATCCATGTCAAGTGATTGGACTTGTGGCCGAAATCTGGTGGAGCAATAAAATGGAGAACGCATTCACACAAGGCAAAGATCCGTCAGAAGTTGAAGCGGTTAGATCTCATTGTTGTTGACATAACTAAAATTTGTTTAGGCAGTTTCGAAAACGCTTGCTTTACTCGCCGATAATGTCCTGAAAGAACAACCAGCCATTCGACGTAATTTAGGGTATGAGAGCTTTAATGAGTATTATTTAGGTCGCAAGATTGAGATGCTCATCACGGAATTCGTTCACAAACGAGATATCTCACGGCAATTGATCAAGAAAGGAACAAAATCCGCCACTGACTTTGAATGGCTACAAGTAGTTTAAAGTACGAGAGATTTTATGAGTATTTTATTTAGGTGATGCGATTCTACTTTGATCCGAACCAATCTGACGCCGAGAAGTGTTGCATTGTGCGCATGGCGAACGCTTGCTTCTTCTACGGATTCGAATACCTCGGAATTCAGGTGGATAGCTTTAATATTGACAGGCTTCATTGTATCTGCTTTTAGGAAAGACTTGTCCGTACTCCACTTACGGACCGCTGTTACCTTACGATGACACAGGCGTTGCACTCGAGGTTTGCTAGATACGACTGAATTCCCGCAGTAAGAATAAATTTAGACTTGGAGGCTCACCATTTGGTCCAGCTGGAACCGGAAAGACGGAATCAGTTAAAGCGCTTGGACATCAACTTGGAAGATTCGTCTTGGTGTTTAACTGCGACGAAACGTTTGACTTCCAGGTTGATTATTGCATTTCCTTGAATTTATGATTTTTTTTTCTTTAGGCAATGGGAAGAATTCTGGTTGGTCTTTGTCAAGTCGGCGCTTGGGGATGCTTTGACGAGTTCAATCGGCTCGAAGAAAGAATGTTGTCGGCTGTTTCGCAACAAATCCAAACGATCCAGGTGTGCTTTAACATTGAGTCTTTAACTTGAGTAATTTCAGGAAGCGGTTCGAGCTGGCGGAGAAATGTCAATCGATCTCGTCGGCAAACGACTCAATGTCAATTCAAACATCGGAATCTTCATCACAATGAATCCTGGATATTCTGGCCGCTCAAATCTACCGGATAACTTGAAACAAGTAGGAAATTTTTTGTAGAAAATCAACGTTGAATTTTAGTTGTTCCGTTCGCTTGCCATGACTCAACCAGATCGTCAACTGATTGCACAAGTGATGCTCTTCTCACAAGGTTTCCGAACAGCTGAAGTTCTCGCTAACAAAATCGTCCCATTGTTCATGTATGTTTTTTTTCACTTCTGAATTCATGCCATTTTAGTTTGTGCAAAGAACAATTGTCCGCTCAATGTCACTACGATTTCGGATTGCGAGCTCTTAAATATGTGCTTGTGTCTGCTGGAAACGTCAAACGAGACAAACTCGCCAAAATGGGATCAGCGGCATTGGAAGACGTGGCTGAACAACAAGTACGTGTTGAAATTAAGAAAATAATACATGATTTTAGATGCTCATCCAATCAGTCTGTGAAACGATGGTGCCGAAGCTGGTCAGTGAAGACATCACTTTGTTGTTCTCGCTGTTATCCGATGTCTTCCCATCGATCCAGTATACACCAAATCAAATGCTTGAGTATGTTGAGGTTTTGTGTATCGAAAATGTTATCCAATTTAGACTGCGCAATCAAATCTCCACGGTCTGTGGGGAACAACTTCTTTGCCATTCGGACATTGACGGCGAACTGGGATCAACATGGGTCAACAAAGTCTTGCAACTTTATCAAATTACCAATCTCAATCACGGTTTGATGCTCGTTGGACCTTCGGGCAGTGGAAAGACAGCAGCTTGGAAAGTGTTGTTGAAGGTATGTACGTACTTCGTTAAATGTGATCAACCTTGTTTAGGCACTCGAACGCTTGGAGAAAGTTGAAGGCGTAAGCCATGTTATTGATGCGAAAGCCATGTCGAAAGACTTCTTGTACGGTTGGATGGATCAGAACACACGAGAATGGACTGACGGATTGTTCACGGCAATCGTTAGACGGTAAGACTTGGACTTTAAAATTTCCTAATCTTTGCTGAATTTAGAATCATTGACAACGTACGCGGAGAATTGGACAAGCGCCAATGGATTATCTTTGACGGAGACGTTGATCCAGAATGGGTGGAAAATCTCAACTCGGTGCTCGACGACAACAAGCTTTTGACATTGCCGAATGGAGAACGACTTGCTATTCCGCCAAATGTTGGCGCACTTTATTAAAAATAATCAAACGCTTAATTTAGGTTCGAATCATCTTCGAAGTTGCTGATCTCAAATATGCGACTCTCGCGACAGTTTCTCGGTGTGGAATGGTGTGGTTCAGCGAAGAAGTGGTCAACAATGATATGCTCTTCTCGCACTTCTTGCAGCGCATGAGAAATGTGAGCATCGAGAATGAGGTTTGAATGTTTGGGTAGCAAGGTTGAAGTCGTCTTTAGGTGACTGGATTTGATCAAATTCACATCGTGAAAGAGGACCACCCATCACGTTCAATGAAAATTCAAAGGATTGCGGCCGATGCTCTTCAACAACACTTCAAGTTTTAATTTAATTGTATCTTGATACAACTTTTTTTAGTTCTGGTGGTCTTGTCCCATTAGCTCTTCAATTCGCCTTGGCCGACTGCGATCACATCATGCTGGCTACAACACAACGACTGCTTTCATCGTTCTTCGCAATGATGAATTACTCTGTCCGCTCGCTAATTCAAACGGATGCCATGAACACAGAATTCCCCATTTCGGTTGGTCAGAAAAGAAAGTTGAAAAACGCTTTTGTTTTTAGGTGGATCAAATTGAGAGCTACGTGACACGATCGATGTTGGCAAACTTGGTCTGGGCATTCACTGGAGATGGAAAGTTGGTGAACAGAGAAGCGCTGAGTGACTTTATCCGAAAGAGCACAACTTTACCGCTGCCACCAAATACACAGGTATTTTTTATAACGTCGATTCATATACATTTTGTTTAGCTTCCATTGATTGACTACGAAGTAACACCAACGGAATGGCGTCCCTGGTCAGCCAAGGTACCGAAGATGGAAATTGAAGCTCACCGTGTGGCGGCGGCAGATTTGGTAACTGCATTTTCCTAAGCTCAAATAATTTCTTGTCCAGGTCGTACCCACAATTGATACAGTTCGTCACGAAATGCTGCTTTCGGCTTGGTTGAGTGAACATAAACCACTCGTTCTGTGCGGACCTCCTGGATCGGGAAAAACAATGACTTTGTTGGCTGCTCTACGATCTCAACAGGACATGGATGTTGTAAATGTGAATTTCTCCTCATCGACCACTCCTGAACTTTTGATGCGCACATTCGATCACTATTGTGAATACAGGTTTCGACATCTTTTACGATTGTTGTTAACTTGGATTGCAGGCGAACACCGAATGGAGTTGTTTTATCACCGATCCAACTTTCAAGATGGCTTGTCATTTTCTGCGATGAGATCAACTTGCCGGCGCCAGACAAATACGGAACGCAACGTGTGATCTCTTTCTTGCGTCAACTTGTCGAATTGGTAATAGTTTTGATTTATTTCCATCTTATCCTTTATCTAGAATGGCTTCTATCGCACATCGGATCATTCATGGGTTTCACTGGAAAGAATTCAATTTGTTGGAGCATGCAATCCTCCAACCGATCCAGGAAGACATCCAATGTCGCTTCGGTATGTGTATTCCTTCTCGAACTTGGTCTATTCTTACTTTAGATTCTTGCGACACGTGCCTGTTGTCTACGTGGATTACCCTGGAAAGTTGTCTCTTGAGCAAATCTACGGCACATTCAATAATGCGATGTTGAAGCTGGCTCCATCGGTGCGAGCAATGGCGGATTCGCTGACAAGTGCGATGGTGGAAGTTTATTTGACCAGTCAGGTGTGCTTTTGTTTTAAACATTAAATATTTTGCGCTTTAGAAAGAATTTACCCAAGACGCTCAACCGCACTACGTCTATTCGCCAAGAGAGCTGACACGATGGGTTCGAGGAATCTCCGAGGCAATCGCTCCACTCGATTCGATTCAAGGAGAGGATTTGGTTCGACTTTGGGCTCATGAGGCGCTTCGCTTGTTCCAGGTTTGGATAATGCTTGTATCGTAGGGTTAATTTGATTTAGGATCGCTTGGTCACTGATGAGGAAAGAACGTGGACCGACAATTTGATTGATTCAACGGCTGAGAAATACTTCGGAGGAAATGTCAACGTCAAGAAAGCCCTTCAACGACCGATCCTCTACTCGTGCTGGCTCAGCAAGCATTACTTGCCCGTCTCAAGAGATGAACTACGAGACTACGTAAAGGCACGTCTGAAGGGATTCTACGAAGAGGAACTCGACGTGAAATTGGTGCTTTTCGATCAAATGCTGGATCATGTGTTGCGAATTGACAGAATCTATAGGTATTTTAAAGAGAGGAAGCTTGTGAAGTTATTGTTTTTAGACAACCACAAGGGCATTTATTGCTGATTGGAACAAGTGGCTCTGGAAAGACAACGCTTTCTCGTTTCGTTGGTAAGCGGACTTAAGTTTATGAAAGGAACTAACTTTTTGTTTAGCTTGGATCAATGGATTGTCAGTCTTCCAATTGAAAGTTCACTCCAAATACACGGCTGCTGACTTCGATGAGGACATGAGACAAGTATTTGTAAAATTCGGTTGCTCGTAAATATTTTGTTTAGGTGCTGCGACGCGCCGGTTGCCGAAATGAGAAGATGTGCTTCATCATGGACGAGAGCAACATGCTGGACACGGGATTTTTGGAGAGATTGAACACCTTGTTGGCAAACGGAGAAGTAAATCGGTCTTGTTTATAATTTGTAGCAACTTTTTGTAGGTGCCTGGCTTGTTCGAGGGCGACGAACACACGACATTGATGACACAAATCAAAGAAGGCGCTGCTCGTCAAGGATTGATGCTCGACACGCACGATGAGTTGTACAAATGGTTTACGGCGCAAGTAAGTGCACGTTTTTAATAGCTTTTAAAAGTTTCTGCATTTAGGTTATGAGAAATCTTCACGTGGTCTTCACGATGAATCCGTCAGAGAACGGCCTTCGAGATCGTGCCTCAACATCGCCTGCTCTCTTCAACAGATGTGTTCTCAATTGGGCTGGTGATTGGGCAGAGACAGCACTTTTCCAAGTATAACGCTTTGGGTAATTTGGTTAAATAGTGATTTTAGGTCGGAGCTGAATTGACGAACGGACTGGACATGGACCGAACCGATTACGAGCCACCATTTGCCTTTGATGCAGTTGGCGACATTGTACCCCAACCACCGCAGTATCGTCATGCCATCGTTAACACATTGGTGCATGTGCACAAAACGGTTCAAAAGGTATGGATTAGATGAACTTTCCCAGTAACATTTTTTTTGCAGTTGAACTCCACCGAATCGAAGCGAGGACATCGCACAATGGCTGTCACGCCAAGACACTTCCTCGACTGTATTCGCCACTTCACAAATCTATTCCACGAAAAGCGACACGAACTTGAGGAGGAGAAGGTTTTGCACTGTTGTTTTTATTAATTAACGTTGCTTTAGATCCACTTGAACATCGGCTTGAACAAAATTCGAGAAACCGAAGAACAAGTCAAAGATCTCCAGAAGAGCCTCACTGAAAAGAGCCGAGAACTCGAGGAGAAAAAGACGGCCGCCAATGCAAAGCTGAAGCAGATGTTGGCCGATCAACAAAAGGTCTATAATTTATAAAGTTGATGTGCTTATTTATGGTTTAGGCTGAAGAAGAAAAACGACTATCGGAACAGCTGCAGAAAGAACTCGTCGAACAATTGGGGCAAATTGCTGTAAAGAAAGAAACCGTTGAAGCAGATTTGTCAAAGGTGGAACCGGCTGTCAAAGATGCACAACTCGCCGTCCAAGGAATACAGAAACCACAGCTTGTCGAAGTAAGAGAATTTTGGCTCAACAACATCATTTAATCAATATTTAGCTCCGTTCAATGGCTTCTCCACCCACACTCGTCAAAATATCGCTGGAAGCAATGATGATCATGCTGCACGAAAATGTCGGCACCGACTGGAAAGCGATCAGAGCGGTGATGGTCAGGGACGATTTCATGTCGAGGATCTTGAACTATGACGCCGATCAAGTCACCCCCGAACTCATCAAGGCAATAGATAAATATATCAACAATCCGGATTGGGAGTTCGAAAAAGTGAGCTTGTTTATGATTACAACTAACAATTTTGCTTTAGGTCAACCGAGCCTCACAAGCATGCGGCCCAATGGTGAAATGGGCGCGAGCTCAACTGCTGTACTCAGAAATGTTGCATAAGGTATTTGAGGATTTGTTGTGAATTTAATTACCAACTCGTTTAGGTTGGCCCACTCCGCAATGAATTGAAACGATTGGAGAGTGATGCCGAAAGAAAGACCAAAGAAGGTGAAGAGGTGAAGACCCGAATTGGACAACTTGAGCAAAGCATTGGCGCCTACAAGGATGAATATGCCCAACTCATCGGTCAAGCTGAGAATATCAAGGCCGATCTCGCTGCTGTTCAAATCAAGGTTTGACTATTTTATTTGCTATTAGATGAAAGATTTAGGTCGAACGATCTCAACAACTTTTGTCCTCACTTGGTTCGGAAAGACATCGGTGGACGGGTAGCTGTGACGGTTTCTCGCAACAAATGGATACCTTGGTTTGTCAAATGAATTCGAGTTTTTCTCGATAAAGTCTTATTTAGATTGGCGATGCGATGATCACTGGAGCCTATCTCTCGTACTCTGGATATTTCGATCAACACTTCCGCGATCTCCTCTTCTCGAAGTACTTCCAAAGTTATTGAAGAGATTCATTTTCCTTTTTAGATGGTCTGAACATGCGCAAAAGGCTGGCATCAAATTCCGTAGTGATTTGGCTCGCATCGAGTATTTGAGCTCGGTCGATGAACGACTCAATTGGAACAGGTGTGTTTAAAATTAGTGTGCTCTTTAAAGTTTAAACTTTTAGAAACGGCTTGCCAGTGGACGATCTTTGCAGTGAGAATGCGATCATGTTGCATCGCTTTAACAGATACCCATTGATCATCGATCCATCCGGACAATCAATTGACTTTGTGATGAAACAGTTCGAAGGAAAGAACATTCAGAAGACGTCATTCCTTGACGAAGGATTCCGAAAGGTTACTGAGTTTTGTGGAAATCTAATCGATCGATTTACGTTTAGAACCTCGAATCAGCGCTTCGCTTTGGAAACTCATTGCTGGTGCAAGATGTCGAGAGCTACGATCCAATTCTGAACCCAGTCCTCAATCGGGAAATAAAACGCGCTGGTGGACGCATTCTAATCACAATTGGCGATCAAGACATCGATCTTTCGCCGTCATTCCAAATCTTTTTGTTCACAAGGTGAGATTTTGAGTTTTTGACCTGTTTGTTTACCAAATGCTTTCAGAGATCCTTCGGTCGAATTCCCGCCAGATGTTTGCTCTCGTGTCACCTTCGTCAACTTCACAGTCACTTCATCGTCCCTCTCGAGTCAATGCCTGAACCAAGTGCTTCGAAGCGAGCGACCCGATGTGGACAAGAAACGAAGCGATCTATTAAAGTTACAAGTATGTTCATTTATATACTTCCTTTAATATGACATTTGTTTAGGGAGAATTTGCCGTTCGACTACGACAACTTGAAAAGGCACTGCTTACGGCGCTCAATGAAAGCAAGGGAAAGGTTTGCCTTTACTAGGGTTCTTTCTTAAATTTTGGTTTTAGATCTTAGATGACAATTCGGTTATTGCTACATTGGAAAACCTGAAGACCGAGGCAAACGAAGTGCAAAAGAAGGCCGCCGAGACGGACAAAGTGATGGCTGAAGTTGAAACGGTGTCGAATCAATACGCTCGACTTGCATCTGCTTGTTCGCAAATCTATCACACACTTCAACAGCTAAATGAGGTTCGTTAAACCAAAATTTTTGAAACAACTTGTATTTAGGTTCATTTCTTGTACCAATTCTCGTTGGACTTCCTCATGGACATCTTTACGACAACTTTGAAGACAGCCGAACTGCAGAGCCTTCAAGATTATACACAGCGATTGCATTTGATCACGCAGACACTTTTTGAGGTATGCTTTAAAGGTATTCTTGCATAAACTAATTAAAAATTTTTAGACGGTCTTTGGCCGAGTCTCATGTGGCATGCTTCATGCAGATAAATCCATGCTTGCTCTGCTTCTGCTGAGAATCTTTGTGAAGACTGGCGGGGAAACGGCTTACGATATGCAATGGAATCATCTCCTTGGTGAGTTTGTGCAGTCTACTTTTTGCTCTGTTTGTGTCATTCATTGATTAAGTTAAATGACCTTTTAGGACGAAATGAACTCTTTGCACAAGCGAAAACGAATGAGAAGAAACCTTCTGGACTCGAGTTTTTGAATGCCGATCAAATTTCGACGATCATCAAGCTCACCAAAGTTTCCAGCTTCGAGAAGATATTTGAGAAAATCGCTAGCAAGTAAATGAATTTTATTGAGGCAAATTTATTGATCTTTTAGGAAAGAGGATGTGAAGAAATGGATCGATGCTGAGCACGCGGAGAATGATGTGCCAGAATTGTGGGATCAGCCCGAGAAAGCTTTGAGTAAGAAATGAAGCATTAACTTCATCTAATCCTTCAATTTTAGCAAGCTTGGGAACTGCCTTGTACCGTCTTCTCGTCATTCACGCATTGAGACCCGATCGTCTTTTGGCATCCGTCCATCATCTGATCGAAGCCGAATTTGGAGCGTCGTTTATGCAACAAGATCGTGTAATCGACCTCGGAAATTTGGTTGCTAACGAGGTAAGAAGTTGCTTGAGTGCTTTTAAACTTGTTTTACAGGTTGATGCTTCTCATCCATTGCTATTGTGCTCGACAGTTGGTTATGATGCATCAGGAAAGGTTGAGGATTTGGCGCTCAATTCGAACAAGGACGTGGTCTCGATTGCCATTGGTTCTGCGGAAGGATTCAGTCAAGCCGACAATGTAATACTTGGTTTTTAATTCTTAAACTTATCTTTTTTTTAGGCACTCACATCAGCCTCGAAGACTGGGCGATGGATCTTGTTGAAGAACGTACACTTGGCACCGACTTGGCTTGGACAATTGGAGAAACGGCTGCACTCGTTGAAGGCTCACCCAGCATTCCGTCTGTTCTTGACCGCGGAGATCCATCCAAAACTTCCGTCGTCGGTGCTTAGAGCTAGTCGAGTCGTCGTCTTCGAACCGGCAACTGGGCTAAAGGCAGGTTTTCAGAAAATATTGATAAACCAATACTTTAGGCGAATCTCTTGCGATCACTCTCCACATTGCCGCCTGCTCGAATTTCCAAGTTGCCATCGGAACGTTCTCGTCTCTACCTTCTCATTTGCTGGCTTCATGCTCTTGTTCAAGAAAGACTCCGCTACACACCACTTGGTAGTTTTAAGTGACTCGACTTTGCAATATTTTCTTTTTAGGCTGGGCCAACGCTTACGAGTTCAGTGATGCCGATCTTCGAGTTGCTTTTGATACGCTTGATTCTGCCATTGACACCATTGCTCAAGGTAGTTTGAGAGAGTTTTGCCTTATAGCAATTTTTGTTTAGGTCGTACAAATGTTGCTCCCGAGAAACTTCCATGGTCGACACTTCGCACACTGCTTTCACAATGCATCTATGGTGGAAAGATTGACAACCAGTTCGATCAAGCGCTTCTCGATTGCCTACTCAACAAACTCTTTACACCAAAAGCCTTCAATGCCGATTACAAGTTGATTGAGCGATTCCAACAGGAGAATCCACTTTTGGTAATTTCAATTTGATCATTTGATTTGATTTTACTTATTTCAGATGCCTGAAGTTACGACAAAGGACTCGTTGCTGAAATGGGTTGAATCATTGGGGCAACAGCAATTGCCGTCATGGCTTGGACTTCCGAATAACGCCGACAAAGTGCTTCTGACTCTACGAGGTACCTGTAAACTAATTTGCTAAATTACCGTTGATTTCAGGAAAAGCAATGTTGAGAAACCTTTTGCGTGTGACCGATGACGAGTTTGCCGTCGGAATGTCGACACAAGAGGACAAAGTGGTCAAACCGTCATGGATGGAGACGCTCAAGGCGACGACGGCAAAATGGTTGGACAACTTGCCGAAGGTGAGTGAAATTGGGGGAGATATTTCTGAATTGCTCAAATTTAGGAGATCATTCGCATGAAGAGAACAAAGGATAACATTCGGGATCCACTGTTCCGATTCTTCGAACGTGAAGTGAATCTCGGTGCTCAACTTGTACAGGATATGCGACGAGACTTGCAAGAGGTTCGTTGGGACAATATTTTTTTAATATTTCTTTATTTAGCTTCTACTTGTGTGTGTCGGTGAGAGGAAGCAAAGCAATGAAACAAGGACTCTTGCCTCATCACTCCAACGTGGACAAGTGCCGACGGATTGGCTTCGATACACTGTGCCTCGAGATGTGATCGTTGGTGACTGGGTTGAGGATTTCTTCAACCGCATCAAGCAACTTCAACAAATTGCAGCGAGTCAATCTCTGAAGGTATACTTTTGTTTCTCGGTTGAACTAAATCTTTTTTTAGCGTGAAACAATCTGGCTTGGTGGTCTCTTCAGTCCGGAAGCCTACGTGACAGCCACACGACAACAAGTTGCTCAAGCGAACACATGGTCATTGGAGCAATTGCATTTACACGTCACTTTTGGCGATGCCGATGGATTCTCGATCAATGGTTTGTGTGAAATTTCCAGCAAAGGTATTTTTGTTTAAGGAATGGGACTTCGAGGAGCCGATCCAGCTGGTACATCGTCGTTGAAACTTTCCGACTCGGAACGCAGCTCGATCCCGCGTGTCGTCTTCTCGTGGAAACAGGTTTGTCTTTGAATTTTCTAATAAGATTGAACACTTGGCAATTTCCTGGTCCTAAACAGTACAAGCTTGTTTTTAGGAAGCGGCAACGGGAATCCGGATCCCACTCTACTTGTACGGTGATCGAAAACATCTCATCGTGGCCGCCTCTTTCGGAACAAACCAAAACGACGTCTTCTACGAGCGCGGAGTGGCGTTGGTGGCCAATAACGCATTCAGCTGAAATATTCTTTTTTGATTCTTTGCATATTAATTTGTTTTCATCTGGGCCTTGTAATATTTTTCGTTTTTTTGCGTTTAATGTGTAATACTTTTTTCATTGTGTTTAGTAATCTGGTTTTTTAATGAGCTTTTATGTTAGGTGTCTTTTGTGTTATCCTGTTTTAAAGTGCTTTTGAATAAATCATAATAGTTAGAAATTTTTATCTTAGTCGAATCAAACATAAATCACACATTGCATTGGAATTACGGAATTGTGCCGCTTATGTGCTCGGGGTTGAAAGCCAATTCATCATTCCCAAAACGCATTCACCGCATCTCCTCACCTTTCCCCTTTGCCCCCTTTCAACCCATCACATGGATCGCATTCACGGCCTCTATGACTCCAAATTTGGCTTTTTATCCATTTCATTGATGAGTTCAGCTCTATTGCTGTCTCTATTAGTAACAGTACTAATAAATCGGTACGTTATTAGTCAGCTTTGAGATTTCTGTGCTTAACATTCCACTCTGTGACATCCAGGATCGCTTTTGGGCAATTTGTGAATTGAACTTGTTGATGAGTTTTTCTGATTTTTCAGAATCATGGAGTTAGGGATAGCTTTTGGGACGCCTTTTAGAAAACGGTCACATTAAAGAGTGTTTAAAGTTGTTTAAAGAGTTGCTTAAACTTGTTTAAAGAGTGAAGAAAATTTGAATTTCATATTTTTCACGAACTTTAAAGAGATTTTTACATGAAAAATTGGCCCTGAGATTTGTGGATGGGTTTTTTCTTTGAGGGAAAACGGAGAATATCTCTCCAGGGACCCTCCCCTTTTTGCCATTTTTCTTTTCCCCATTCCTTTGAACACTAAAGCTTTGTCTTCTTTGAGACTTTTGACCTTAAAGCTCATCTCGTGGTTTTCCCTTCTATTCAATAGATAGTGTGCCATCCAGAATGAAAACTTTGTTAGATAAGTATAGTAAAAGAAATCATAGTAGCAGAGTTTTCTTATAGAACTCCTTCGTGCACTAGAAAGGCTAAGTTTCCATTAGCACAAAGTACACCTGAAACTTATCCATTGTATAGTGTGCCTTCCAGAATGAAAACTTTGTTAGATAAGTATAGGAAAAGCAGCCATTCTAGCGACGTTTTCTTATAGAACTCCTTCGTGCACTAGAAAGGCTGATTTTCCATTAGCACAAAGTACATCTGAAACTTATCCATTAGATAGTGTGCCATCCAGAATGAAAACTTTGTTAGATAAGTATAACGAAATTCTTTATGAAACACGAGTTTTCAAAGGGAACTCGTTTCGTGCTCTAGAGACGATGGTTTTCTCTGTTTTTCTGTAGCTTTTCCTCTTTTTTATTCCTTCCTTAATCATTGCTTCTTTTTTTTTGCCCATTTTCCAGACTAATCAACGATTCAGCTGAAGGAGTTTTCCCAATTTTGCTTTTCTCTTTTTCTAATGTGACTTTTACTATTTGCATTACTCAACGAAAATTTTAGCTTTTAAAATTTCTTTACGTTTTTTTTTAGTTTAAAAGTGCTTTATTTATTGTTTTGTTTATTTTTGAGCCAGCAAGCTAACCAACTAGCTAGCTAGCCAGTCAGCCAGCTAGCCAACTAGCTAGCTAACCAACTAGCTAGCTAGCCAGTCAGCCAGCTAGCCAACTAGCTAGCTAACCAACTAGCTAGCTAGCCAGTCAGCCAGCTAGCCAACTAGCTAGCTAACCAACTAGCTAGCTAGCCAGTCAGCCAGCTAGCCAACTAGCTAGCTAACCAACTAGCTAGCTAGCCAGTCAGCCAGCTAGCCAACTAGCTAGCTAACCAACTAGCTAGCTAGCCAGCCAGCTAACTGGCCAGCCAGCTAACCGGCCAGCCATTTCCTGGACTCTTAGCTCTCTTCTAAAACCTAAAACCCTTCTTTTTTAACTCCTTTTTGATTAGACGTAACTAAAAAACAAACAATAAACCCCAAACGTTAGCGTTAACACCTCTTTTCCAAAATCAGAAGGCAAATGCTGATGTTCTCCAAGGCACTTTACATGTTTGCCTTTTGCCCTCGAGCGAGCCTTAACGTTGCAATTTTTTTTGAAAGACACCCAACTAGACAAATTACAATTGAAAAGAAACAAAGGAATACCGGTAAAGTTTTCCCTTTGAATTTTCCCGATAAATCCATATAGCGATATTCAAATCCAGTCGCATCATCTAAACCATTTCTTCGTAAAAGTTGCGCAAAGGTCGGCAAACGCAAACGTACGCAAACGTACACAAACGGACGCAAACGGACGCAAAGGCAAACGTACGCAAACGTACGCAAAGGCAAACGTGCGCAAACGCAAACGTACGCAAAAGTACTCAAACGTACGCAAAAGTACTCAAACGTACGCAAACGCAAACGTACGCAAACGTAAACGTGCGCAAACGTAAAGCGCACCGCTCTGCTTTCGCGCCAGTTCCTTAAAAACGTCAAAAAAAGTTGCACAAATGACCCTGTTGCGTAAATGAAAATTTGCGCAACAGGGTCATTTTTTCAACAGGTCGCAACACGGTCAACAGGGTCCCAAATGAAAATTTGCGCAAACGTACTTGCAAATGACCCTATTGCGCAAATAGAATGGCGGAAAATAGGCTACCCCAAAATTTTAGCTTTTAGCAAAATTCTTTACGTTTTTTTTTAGTTTAAAATAGCTTTATTTATTGTTTTGTTGTGTTTTTTCTTGTTTTTTCTTGTTTTCTTTTGATTTTTGTTTAAAAACTCGTAACGTTTCGTTAATTTTTTTAGAGAAAATGGTTGCCCCGAATCTTCTTCAAATCTTTCTCCAACTATCAAATGTTTCATTCGAGAATTCGACGAATTTCGAGCTAAGCAGACGACCAAGAGCTGAGATTAAAGGGAAAAGAACGACGATTGGATTGCAAGCTGGTGGGTTGACACGCTTTTATTCTTTTCTTCTTGTTCTTTTCACATTTTTGACAAACAACATCAACCCATCATCTGCAAAATTTGATTTTTATGAAAAGCTATTTACAAAAAGCTTTTAAAAGCCTGAATTCTTGTTTTCTTTTGGGTTTAACATGTGTAAACCGGTTTTTTCGTCAATCTAGGTAAATCAAGGCTCTTCTGAGCTGTCGTTTCACTGCAGAGAGACGACCGTTCGTGTTTGTGATGATTTCGAAAAATTGATAAGAGCTATTTGATTCAAATTTCGTTTTTTCGTTTATCTGGATATCACACTAGAATTCTAAGAATTCGGATTTTCAACAAAACAGCAAAAAATTTAGACTCAAGAGCTGGCTCGGCTCTGCTTGGCCTCGTTTGACGGCTTTTTATTTGTTGATCTTTGTAAACTTAGCTGGCTAGCTGGTTGACTGGCTAGCTAGCTAGCTAGCTAGTTGGTTGGTTGGCTAGCTGGAAGCCTCTAGAATGGTTTTAATGTCTTGAAAAGACAAGAATTATGGGATTTGCATTAGGAGTTTTAAAGTTCGATGGTTTTTGGTCGAAAACTATTTGGACCAGTCAGCCAGCCAGCTAACCAGTCAGCCAGCTAACCAGTCAGCCAGCTAACCAGTCAGCCAGCTAACCAGTCAGCCAGCTAGCCAACCAACCAGCCAACCAACCAGCTAGCCAGCCAACCAACCAGCTAGTCAACCAGTCAGCTAGCTAGCCAGTCAGTCAGTCAGTCAGCCAGCTAACAAGCCAACCAGCCAGCTAACCAGTCAGCTAACCAGTCAGCTAACCAGTCAGCTAGCTAGCTAACCAGTCAGCCAACGAGCCAACCAGTCAGCCAGCACTTAAAATACCCTTTTTGAGCCTTTATTAAAGCCAAAAGAAAAGAGTACTTTTAGGCGAAGAATCTCTCCATCCTCTGCTCGCCGATGAAGAAATCGCCACACTTGAAGAAAACTACACAGAGAAAGTGCTCACAAATCCCGAAGATGGCAAACGAGAGGATATTTTCGGCAGGGATAACAAGGTCAGAGTTTTTCTTTTGATTCAAAAATCCATCTTGAAATTCCAGCGAATGTTTGGGCAACCGATTTATCCGCCATTTGGCGCCTACACAAAGCTGAATATTGACGATGAAGTGAGGAAAGCGTTGCAGATAAGTGAGTGTGATTTTAGAAAGCTTTTAAACTTTGTAGACCAGTATAGATTGACTAAAAAGCTAGATAAAGCTATGGTAAACGTCTGGACGAGTTTGAAAGCAGATCTTAGAGTCAGCGAAGCTTAATGTAAGAGTCTTTGAGTTGAATTACTGTTAGAGCTTAACAACTTTGAATCTAAGAATGAGAAATTTCATTCTGGAAGTCACAGCATCTAATGAAGAAGTTTAAAAAAGGTTTGAGTTGATTTTAGCTTTAAGTAATAGCTGGTTACTGGTTAAAGCTTAAATTGGTTACTGGTTTTGGCATTAGATTGATTGATTGATTGATTTCTCTGCGATTGTTAAAAGTATTGACTAACGTTTCTATTTTAGAATCAAGTGACTTAGAAGAAAGTTATAGAGTCCTTTGCTGGGTCATTTGCGCTAACATAATTCTCTTCTAACTCATCCAATCTTTATGCTTTTGGTTTTATTTTGTAGATCTCAATAAGGGCAACAAAATGAAACCAATAGCAGAAAGATTGGCTGACTTAGAAGAAAGTTATAGTGAGTTGCGCAAACGACCCAGTTGAAAAACGACTAGGTCGTTATTGACGTACGATCAATGTACGTCAATACTTGAAAAGTATTGACTAACGTTTCTATTTTAGAATCAAGTGCTGATGGAACAGAGCAATTATTATATCGTACATTGATGGATGCAAGTAGATACGAGAAAGATGTTCGTCCAACCAATCATCATTCACTTCCAACAAATGTCACTTTTGGCTTCTTATTGAATCAAATTGTGGAAATGGTAAAGAGAACATTCAAATTTGGCTTTAATTTGAAATTTGGCTTTTTTAGGATGAACGAAATCAAGTGCTGACGACACGCAGTTGGCTTAACATCAATTGGATGGATCAGAGACTGAGGTTTGCGAATGGGAATGAAGCTAACGCTGAGAAATTGCAAGCTGGAAGGCACATCATCTAATGAAAAAGTTGTAAACGGGTTTGCCTTTGATTTTAACTTTCACACGAAAAATTGCGTAATTAAACCGGCGAGGATAAATGAAAAGCCCTGTTTTAAGGTGTGCTTTGTGCTCTTTAGATAGTGTGCGTTCCAGGATGAAAACTTTGTTAGATAAGTATAGTAAAAGTAGTCATAATAGCGATGTTTTCTTAGAGCACTCCTTCGTGTACTAGAAAGGCTGATTTTCCATTAGCACAAAGTACACCTGAAACTTAGCCATTAGATACTGTGCGTTCCAGAATGCAAACTTTGTTGGATGAGTATAGTAAAAGTAGCCATTCTAGCGGCGCTTTCTTAGCGAACTCCTTCGTGCACCAGAAGAGCTTTGTTTACACGTGAACAAAATGCCCCAAACTTATTCATTAGATAGTGTGCGTTCCAGAATGTAAACTTTATTAGATAAGTATAGTAAAAGTAGCCATTCTAGCGATGATTTCTTATAGAACTCCTTCGTGCACTAGAAGGGTTTTGTTTACACGTGAACAAAATACCCCAAACTTAGCCATTAGATAGTGTGCCTTCCAGGAAACAAACTTTGTTAGATAAGTAAAGTAAAAGTTGTCATAATAGCGATGTTTTCTTTGAGAACTCACTAGAAAGCGTGTGCTTACAAATTTTAAGCACAAAGTACCTTCAAAACTGATTAATTGTATAGTGTGCGTTCCAGGGTAAATGAAAAAAACAATTTTTTCAGTTGGAATCACTCGCTCTGGGGTGGAATCAAAACAATCTATGTACCGCATCAGAAGCTTTGGAAACCGGATATAATTTTGGTGAATAAGTGAGTGAAATTCTTGGATTTATCTTTAAATCCCATAAAAGAAAGGGTTTTTTTTTTCTTCACACAAAGAAAGAGAATTGACGCGGTAATTTCTTTTCTTCAGAGAAAGCGTCGTGATTGAAAGAAGAGGGGGGAAAATAGGGAAAATAGGGAAAACGTGAGGAGAAGAGCAATCCAATTTTACCCAAAAATCCCTAAAACCGAATAGGGAAAAGCGTTTTTGTTGTTAGAATTCGGGAAATCAAAGGGAAACATTTTCTGAAGAGATTTCGGATTAACTGGGCTTAACTTGGTTAAAAGTGCTTAGTTGACTTCAATAAATGAGTCAAGTTAAAATGTTCTTTCAAGATTGATAGAGATTTGTGTAAGCTTTAACGAATGGTAACACGTTATGACCCACAAAATTTTACAATTAATTACAAAAGGAGACTTCCAAGTCCGTCCAAGGTCCAAACGTTCAAGGGCTGACTCGAACCAACCTCGAGTGATCGATAGTCAAGCACACTAACCATTAAGCCATAGCGACACTGTTGGGGAAGGCGTAATTTGAGCCGTTATATCGAGTTGACAAACTGAGAACCATTTTGACGAATCATTTGCGCAACTCACTATAACTTGCTTCTAAGTCATCCAGTCTTTATGATATTGGTTTCATTTTGTTGCCCTTATTGAGATCTACAAAATGAAACCAAAAGCATAAAGATTGGATGACTTAGAAGAGAATTATGTTAGCGCAAATGACTCAGCAAAGGACGCTATAACTTTCTTCTAAGTCACTTGATTCTAAAATAGAAACGTTAGTCAATACTTTTAATAATCGCAGAGAAATCAATCAATCAATCAATCAATCAAACCAAAACCAGTAACCAATTTAAGCTTTAACCAGTAACCAGCTATTACTTAAAGCTAAAATCAACTCAAACCTTTTTTAAACTTCTTCATTAGATGCTGTGACTTCCAGAATGCAATTTCTCATTCTTAGATTCAAAGTTGTTAAGCTCTAACAGTAATTCAACTCAAAAACTCTTACATTAAGCTTCGCTGACTCTAAGATCTGCTTTCAAATTGGTCCAGAAGTCAGCCAATCTTTATGATATTGGTTTCATTTTGTTGCCCTGATTGAGATCTACAAAATGAAACCAAAAGCATAAAGATTGGATGACTTAGAAGAAAGTTATGGCGAGTTGCGCAAATGACTCTGTTGCGGAAATTAGCCTACCCCTTAGAACCTGATTTTAAGGTTTGCTTTAAGAAAATTGGGATTTAAAGAAAAGAAAAATGCTTTCTTCTTAAGCTTTCTGAAGTATTTGAATGTAAAGATTGTTTTTAGTGCAATTCGGGAATATTATGCGTCATTAGTTTCGACGGATATTATGGTTTCAAGCGATGGAAATGTCACTTATCTTTATTCAGCAATTTTTCGATCAAGTTGTCGGTGAAGTTACTCTTTTTAAATATATATTAAAAAGATCGTAAATTTTAGAATCAAAGTTCGCTACTATCCTTTTGACGATCAGGAATGTGATTTGAAATTTGCATCATGGTCACACGATAGTCGAGAAATGGATTTAGGGCTAAACACTGATAAAGTTTGTGTTTTTGTTGAAAATGCAAAATTTGCAAACTTTATTTAGGGAGATTTAAGCAGCTACATGAATAACAGTGAATTTGATTTGGTTGACATGACAGCTATTCGAGAGGTTGTCCATTTCCCGTCGGAACCCGACTCACTCTGGCCGATCATCATCATTCGCATCAATATGAGGAGAAGACCATTGTTTTACGTCTTTAATCATGTAAGTTAGAGATTTGATGGCTTTGTTTCTTCAATCTGGAAGTCAGCCTATTCTTTTTTTTGATTTGATTGTGATTCAGACCATTTCCGGACCTTCGGGAATCAGGCCAAAAATGTCAACTGCGTAATTGAACCGACCAGTTTGACTTGCGGTCGAAATTTTCTTGCTTTCTTCGATCTGGAAGTCAGCCTATTCTTTTTTTTTGATTAGATCGCGATTCGGATCACTCTCACAGTTCATCAATGTCAGTTGCGTAATTGAACCGACCAGTTTTACTGTTCAACTAAGTCTTTGCGAGCAAAATTTTTCTTGCTTTCTTCAATCTGGAAGTCATCCTATCCTTTTTTGTGATTAGTTCGTGATTCAGACCATTTTCGGACTTTCGGGTTTCGGGCCATAAATGTCAACTGCGTAATTGAACCAACCAGTTTGACTTGCGGTCGAAATTTTCTTGGCTTTCATCAATCTGGAAGTCAGCCTATCCTTTTTTGTGATTAGATTGTGATTCTGACCATTTTCGGACCTTCGGGAATCAGGCCATACATGTCAACTGCGTAATTGAACCAACCCGTTTGACTTGCAATCAAAATTTTCCTTTCTTTCTCCAATCTGGAAGGCAGGCGGCAAAAATCATTCGTTAAAAAGTAGCCAGGTAAACTTTCTGTAGTTGGGAATACTATAGGTCAAGCTATAGCATCAGCTACGATAACTGAACGGGCAATCTCTAGATCATCCCGTGCGTTCTCATCTCCTCAATGGCTGTTCTCGGATTTTTAATGCCACCGGAGACTGGCGAGAAGATCAATATGATCATCACAACATTGCTCTCAATGGGTGTTTATCTGCAATCGATTACCGAGTCGATTCCGCCAACTTCTGAAGCTGTGCCACTAATTGGTGAGTTGATTTACGTCTTCTAGATCGTCACACAAGCTAATGGAGGAGGATAAAGTAAAACTAGATTTGATTTAGGTATGTACTACGTGGCTTCTTTATTCATGGTTTGTTTGGCGACTTGTGTGAACGTAGTGACGCTGAATATTCACAGGAATGGAGCAGCAAATCAGGTAGTTTTTTTGGTGAAAACATGCGCCTAAGATTTCAGCATAAGTTTAAGTTAAAGAGTCTAGAATCTGTCCTTTTAGTTAGACGAAATTTGTTTAAAGAAATTTTGACAAGTTTTAGGGTCGACAAGTGCCGCCATGGATGGAGAAATACATTCTCGGATATCTTGCCTCATTCATGCAAATGACGATTAGAGAACCTGACTCTGTGACGCTGATAAAGACGGCACAAGTCAGTGAAAGGAGATTTGAGAGATTTGAAAGATCTGTAAGCTCTGTAAGCTCTGTAAGCTCTGTAAGCTCTGTACGATCTGTAGGCTCTGTAAGCTCTGTAAGATCTGTAAGATCTGTAACCTCTGTAACCTCTGTAACCTCTGTAACCTCTGTAACCTCTGTAACCTCTGTACGATCTGTAGGCTCGATCTTTCAATTAATCTAAAGGCTTGAGAATTTGTTTAGAATCAGGCTTGGATGAAAATAAGATGATCTAAATCTAGATCAAAGAAGACTCTGGCAAAAAACAAATTTAGACAAAAAAGTCAACGATCCGACGAAGCTCATTGTTGAGAGATTTGAAGAGAATCAAGAATCAAGACAATCGAAAACAGAGGACAAAAGTGCCGAATGGAGAATGCGAGTGTATGGTGACACAGAATAATGTGAGTGTCATTGTTGTTGCTGTTCTGAGGGAGTTCTTGACTTTTGAGTCAGAGAAAGCTCAACTTTTCACAAACACGATTCCACCAAAGAAATTTTTTTTCGAAATCAATATATCAACATATCCAATGCTTAGTTTTCTGTTGTGACTTCCAGAATTGCTAATGGAAAAGTTTGAAAAACGAATCTAGCCTAGAATTGTATCAAAACCCTGTCGACCAAAACCATTTTTTCTAGAATGAATATATTAACCGATTCTATGCTTAGCTTTCTGTTGTGACTTCCAGAATTGCTAATGGAAAAGTTTGAGATCCTAATTTCACATAGAATTGTATCAAATGCAATCCGAACCTGCATTTCCCTGTCGGCCCTGACGTTTGACGGGCCAGGACGGACCCGTGACTTGAGCAAGTTCTAGGTCAGAATCGGGTAGGATCAAGGCGAAAGCTAGACCCGGGCAAGGTCAAGGCTTACTCCAACTGCTTAGAGGGCCAGCTTCAGAGCTAGCTCGAGTACAGTTGATCGTTTACGATTTGATAACTCTGATCTTTCAGAATTCCGTGCTAACATTGGAGATCGAGGCGATCCACGCGGCACATGCTCACTCAAAAGCGAATGGGAATGCGAAATCGGTGGAAACAGGCAGTGAGGGGGTGATTTTGTCAAGGATTGTCACGGAACAGGCGAGTACAAGAAAGTAGAGCTGGTCAATGATTGTTGTTTGGTCTGAGAATAGCTCTGAGTTCTCAACAAAGAAGAAATAGTGGCCAGAGAGGCCAGAGAGGCCAAGAAATGATGGCCAGAGAGGCCAGAGAGCCCAAGAAATGGTGGCCAGAGAGGCCAGAGATCCAGTTCCGTAATAAATAAAAAGCTAAGCCTCGATTCTCGATTACTAAATGAAATTTGTTTAGTTAATGCCACGAATGACGACCAAAAATCCGACAATGCTTTCGGAATTCGAGCAAAAATTTCGAAAGATTTTAAAGAGAATCTATCGAAGTTTACAACAACACGAGATTCGGGAAGAGGTTTGTGTTTATGAATTGCGTAATTCAACCCATTTCTTTGGGTTGTTTGTTAGGGTTTTCGGATATAAATGAACCTTTGCACTGCTTAACTCGTGAGGAAGCCATTTCCCGCATCTGATCTTCTTTCCAATGGCGTGGAGATGCTGATCAATGGTAGAATTTGAACGAACTGTCGAGCAAGTTGTTGTTTGACATGGATCCGATCCGATTGCAGCTCTCAAAATATTGTCTACCGCTTGTCGACGAGGGTGTTCATCATTCTATAGACTTTCATCACCGTTTCAAAAGCTCGGCATCGGCTCGGCATTAGAACCAAGCTCGGCATCGGCTTTCGAACAATTCCCAAGGCTTTGACCAAATCTCGATGGAATTCCACGGCTGTTTGGCCTAGTTTGAAGTCGTAGGCAGACGCGAACTCGTTCAAAGTCGATAAAGCAGGCAGACGTTCGAAGTCGGTTATCTAATGCAAGAAAAAAAGATCTTAAAAATAAGAAATTATCCGTTTAAAAAGATTCCAAATCTACACAAGATAACGTGCTTTTAAATACAGAAAGTTTTAAAAGCTTTCAGACAACAATAAGTTTAGTAACGCTTGTAACGCTTAGTAACGCTAAATCCAAAGAACCTAATAGTTTGTTAGTTTGTTAGTCTAAGTTTTTAGAAAATCATTGTTTCTGAATAGTTACTGAAAGAAAGAATCAGAAAAGTGAGAAAGCACAAGTACAGAAATACGCAAAAAGAATGAGAATAACAGAATCGGAAAATTAGAAGGGATACGGTAGTTTCTACCAGGCTTTAAAGCGCCAAGATTTTCTCCGAAAAAGGATCGCAAATAAAGAAAGTTAGAAAGAAGATTGCTTAACAAAAGATCCAAAAAGATCCTGAATTCTAGTGTATTTTAAGTGCTAAAAATGATTCAATGATACCTGTAGCTCAACGAACTTCAGATGGCTTTAGGCAGACGCTAGGTAGGCTCTAGGTAGGCTCTAGGTAGGCTCTAGGTAGGCAGACGCTAGGTAGGCTCTAGGTAGGCTCTAGGTAGGCAGACGCTCTAGGTAGGCAGACGCTCTAGGTAGGCAGACGCTCTAGGTAGGCAGACGCGAACTTGATATCGATACGTACTTTACTTGTACTCGATACTTGATCACGTACTTTTAAATACAGAAAGATTTAAAAGCTTCAGACAACAATAAGTTTAGTAACGCTTGTTTAAATCCGAAGGAGTAAATGGAATTTGTTAGAAGAGAACAAAGCAAATCAATCAGATAAAACAAATAAAAAAAAATAAATCAAATAAAACAAATAAATTAAATAAAACAAATAAATCAAATAAATCAAATAAAGAAAAAGAAACTTTTAAAGGAATACATTGCAAAATTTAGTTTCGAATTGAAAAAGAAACCGAATAACTTTTAGAAATTGTTTTTTTAGTGCTGTGCATTCCAGATTGCCTTATTTGAATGAAAGATTTGTAGATTCTTGACGAGCGTCAACGCATCCAATGGCAATGGCAACAGCTCGCCTCCGTCATCGACCGTTTACTTCTCATTTTGTTCTCGATGGCCACACTGGCTACGATTTCATTTTTCTTGATTTTACCCGTTCAATTAAGGAATTCGGTTTGGTCTGGCTTGTTTTTTCTGTGATTTGTGTGCCTCCATAAAAGCGATAAAGGTTCTCGATTCAATAATTCTTGAATGCTCAACAGCAACCGGGACCGGGACAGCTCATCATTCTCAATTCTGGATGTCACAGAAGAAAATAAGCATTTGAAATTGGTTGTAAGATTATTTTTTTATAAAATGATTTTAGCAAATCGACTATAAACTACAAAAATTATCGGTTTTACGTTTTTTTTATTTTTGAAAATTTCATATGCTAGAGCTACCGATTTCTGCAAAAGCATTTGCTTAAGAGTCTTTGATGAAAGTCCCTTGTTAATTTAGTCGGAAAATTCGTTTGGATTGGTTATTTGAAAGAGACGGGAGCTGAAGGGGCTCCAGCGCATCTCTTCAACGAGATTCCAGAGAATTTAGAGCAATTGTTCCCAGTTAGTGCCTTTATTTTGTACTGTAACTTCTGCGCTAGACGCTGCGCATCAGGTCGCCTGAGTGGTTGGAAAAACCTGTTGTCATCTTGGGGGGAGGTCTTATGCGCTACTTTCACTTATCGATCTATTCTTGAAATTTAGTGGAACCCGGAGCCTACGGAACCGGAGATACATATTTGAGGATACACCCAGGCGAGCTCTACAAAAGATAAAGAGGATCAAACTAACTTATGGTTAGTTCTATTCTACACTAAAGTCGACTAAAGATAAAGACTAAAGAGGCGATAAAAATGATTCTAGAAGCCGAACCAGGGTGACAATTATATGCGAAATTCCTTTTTCAAACTTTTCCATTAGCAACTCTGGAGGTCACAACAGAAAACTAAGCATAGAAAATGTTAATATATCCATTCTAGAAAAAAATGGCTCTGGTCGACAGGATTTTGATTGAATTTGAGACAATTATATGTGAAATTAGGATCTTAAGCTGTTGACTAAGTTGATTAAGATAAAGACTAAAGATCGACTAAAGATGGCGTAGCCACCAGATGGCGCATAAAAAAGGGCATAAAGTCGTGTTCTCTCAGGTTCTTCTCAGGTTTGTGCCTTAAGCCCTCAGATCACTCTTCACCGGGCCGCCCCCCCTGCCGAGTCAGCTATCCGGGTCCCTCGCCTCTCAAGGTTTTCGCTCATTCCAGCCATTGACCTCATCGACACTCTGCGCATCTCGCACTTCACCCGGGAGCTTCATCCACCGACAGGGGGGGCTAGGCAAACACCAGCCCCCAGAACATGACGGTCCTATGGTGAGACTCCCCGGTTCTCCTATTTACGAACATTCGCTAATCTCCGTCGACATCACCCCTTGACTGGATTGTCTCGAAGACTCGACCATGTTACTTCCGCCGGCCCGAGGCGGGACTCTGCCGGAGTGGTAGGCGGCCCCATACGAGTACCTCCTTGGCCAACTCCGTTGACAGGTCACTTAAGGCAAAGGGTTTTTCGGGCACTTAACCTATTCACGGTCGCCAGAACCGGCGCGTTTCCCGGTTCCCGAATGGTTCGCCTGTTCTGGGCACGTTCTTGGCCCAGGCGTGGCGGTTCTGGAAAGTCTGGAAGTCACATCAGGGAAAACTATCAATTTTAACGATTTTAAAGGCTAATCTGGATATCACATGAGTCAAATATGCAAATTTTATTAGTTAAAATGTAAATTTAGCATTTTTACTGGTAAAGTGGTGAAAATAGTAGGAAATTGTGATTTTTAAATGAAAATTCGAGTACTGTAAGTTGAAGGGCTACTTTTAGAAAAGGTTTTAGACATTTTCCCGATCGGTTTTGCGGAGAGTTTCGGCTTTCCGTTAATGAAAAGAGGCGAAATTTGAAGAAAACCTTTAAAATTTAGTGCATTTTCTGAATAAACCGTACGCTTTTTATTCAAATTTACATACTAAAATGCATAAATAAACAAATTTTCGATGTAAAATGGCGAAACCCATTTGGCACAAATGACTGAAAAAGATGGAAAAAAGAATAAATTTTGAAGAAGATAGGTTAAACGAAGAATAGCACCTGGCGCACTGAATTTTCAGCTTTTTGGGGTGCTGTGTGTGCCAGATCGTCTGGATTTTGCAAAACCATCATTCTAGGGGCGCCTGTCAAATAGAAATTTGGGTGAAGTGAAACCTCGAAAGTTGGCCTAAACTTTTAGCACCTAGCGCACTGAATTTTCAGCTTTTCTAGTGCTGTGCGTGCCAGATCGCCGATTTTTCGGGTTTCTAAACTCGGAAACTGAATACATTAGCATAAGTAGTGGGGGAGTAGAATCGCTGGCTTGGCACACCGTATAATACATTGAAATTGTGGTGAAAAATTTGAATTTAAAAACGAAAGTTTGAAAAAAAGTGGCTTTAAAAGGGTAAAAATGAAAAAGAAAGGCGAAAAAATGAATGAAAAATGAAAAATCACAAATCAGTCACCAAAAAATCGAGTTCTAAAGGGGAATTTGGGGAATTAAAGGAAAATTATGAATTTCATCGATTTTAAATGCTAATCTGGAGGGCACACGAGACAAAGATGCAAATTTTAAGCGTTTAAATGTAAATTTAGCAAAGTCAGGTCTGGAATCAGAGTTGGGAAGAATTGCTGAAGGAATTTAGGGAGAACTATCAACTTTATCTACTTTAAATGCTAATCTGGATGTCACATGAGACAAATATGCAAATTTAAACAGCTTAAATGTAAATCTAGCCAAGTCAGGTCTGGAATCAGAGTTGGCGACAATTGCTGAAGGAATTTAAGGTAAATTATTCGTTTTATCTATTTTAAATGCTAATCTGGATGTCACATGAGACAAATATGCAAATTTTAACCGTCTAAATGTAAATCTAAAATTTATTTAACTCATAATTTTAAATGCAAATCTCCAAATTTTCATATGCAAATTTGTCTCGTATTCAAAAGGAATCAGGCTTATGAATTATTGGCGATACTTTTCTTTGCGGCGACGATTAAATAATAGAGAGAGGCGAGGGGTTTCGCTTGTCGCAGAAATGGATGAGTGAGGAGTTGCGCGGCCGACCAGCGCTCGTCCACCGACACCTCGAGAGCCGCGTCGATGAATTGCTGAAGAGATTTCAAGAAAATTATCTATTTTATCTATTTTAGGGGCTAATCTGGAAGTCACATGAGATAAATATGCAAATTTTATCAGTTAAAATGCAAATCTAACAAAGCCAGATTTGGAATCAGAGTTGGCGACAATTACTGAAGAAATTCAAGGAAAACGATCGATTTTATCGGTTTTAAACGCTAATCTGGATGTCACATGAGATAAATATTCTAGTTTTATTAGTTAAAATGTAGATTTAGCAAAGTCACTTCTGGAAACTGAGTCCAGAAGCTGAGTCTGGAAAATGCCTCAAAACCAACCGTGAATATAGGCGACAGGGTGTCCCTGGACGGGAATTTCGGCTTTCCATTCGTGGCTATCAGGTAGATTGCCTAAATTTTGGGTTTTTGGGTGTAAAAGTCAAAATGGAAGGTCAAAAAAGGGTTATTAAAAACTGGAAAATCTGCTTAAGTTAGTTTAAAAGCGAGTTTTTCTAGCCGAGGAGATTTGTCGTCGTGGTCAAGTCGGTAGCGCTCTTGGCTACAGCCCAGACAACCCGGGTTCGACTCCCGGTTGTGTCATGAGTTTTGATTTTTGAGAAAATTAAATTAGAGGATCAGAAGTATATAGAATTCTAAGCCTGGTAAAGTAAAAATGGCGGGAATTGGTTGACTGGGGAGATGAGAAATGACGGATTGACGGATGACGGACAGAATGTTGATTTTACGAGTTTTAACTGGATTTTAACCAAACCAAACCAAATACCAAACCAATTTCTCGTTTAATTGCCTTAAAACCAACCCGAATCGGATTCTCATTCAAATACGGCGGCTCTCCTTCAACCATTTCAATCGCCATAATCCCCAGCGACCAGACATCAACCTTTGGACCATACTGTTTCCTCGTCACCACCTCAGGCGCCATCTAGATCATTTCTTTAAATCCAAATATCTAAAGTGACTTCCAGATCAGCTAAAAACAGAAAAAAACCCTTTGATTTCTTCTCAAGTTTAAAAGATTTCTCATCGAACTCGTTCTTTCGGTTTTCTCAGGAATTTTCTTGAATTTCTCAATTCTTTTTAATTAATTTAAGCAATCTGGAAGTCATTTTAGAATTTGAATAACTTTTTAAGGAAAGATTTTTGTTTTTTAATGTACCCAGTATGGTGTTCCGACCATTGTCGTTCGCTTGTTCTGTTCGGGAGAGATTTGAGCGCAGAAACCGAAATCAGCTGGAAAAGAAGAGAATAGAAGAGTTGAGACGGGTTTTGGAAGGTTTTGGGAGGTTTTGGGAGGTTTTGAAAGCTTTTGAAAGCTTTTGAAAGGTTTTGAAGGCTTTTGGAAGGTTTTGGGAGGCTTTGGAAGGTTTTAAAGAGCTTTCAAAGAACCTTTAAAGAGTTTGAAGGCTTTTGAAGGCCTTTGAAGGCTTCTAAAGAGCTCTTAAATAGCTTTACGCACTTAATTTCACTGATCCATCCATGCCGAGTAAAATGTTGTCGGATTTGATATCGCGGTGAATCACGTGACGACTGTGGAGGAAATCGAGAGCTTGCAACACCTTAAAAGAGATTATTTCATTAATTTTCAAAAAATTTCACTATTTAAAAGCTCTTGAATCGATTTTGATTGTTAAAAAGAAACTTTTTGTAATCTGAAAATTCTGATTCTTTGTCGGACTTGCTTAGATTTAAAGCTCATCTTTAACCGTTCAGATCTCGATTTCTAAAGCACCTATCGATCTATAAATTATTTCATTAGAAAGCCAAGAATCTCAGCTTTCTATTGATAGTTTAAACATCTTCAATTCCCATTTGTAAGTGCTTTAAAAAAGCTTTCGAATGAACTGACCTCTCGACAAACGGCCGCAATCATTTGCTCTTCCATTTGACATTCAGTGACAACATCGGTAAGCGATCCACCAGCCAAATACTCCATTACAACCGGAAAATGGAAACGAATAGAATAGAAGCGAAAAGAAAATTAGATTTAGATTAGATTGAAATCAGATTTCATTTAAATTAGATTTCATTTTGACTCTCTTTCTTTTTTAATCCATCAAAATGAAGTTCTCTAAACTGAATGCTGTAATCTAGCTAAAGAAGACTGAATATCTTATTCTAAGCTGATTACACAATCTACAATGGATACCGTAATCCAGCTAAAGTAGATTGAATAGCCTATTCTAAGCCGAATACACATTCTAGACTGAATACCGTCATCCGGCTAATCTAGACTGAATACCCTATTCTCTCTAATAGTATTGCGGTCCAGAAGGGGGTTCAGAAAATAGTAGTGCGCACTACCATTAGAGAGAATACGGTATCCTAATCTAGACTGAATCCCGTAATCCAGCTAATCTAGAGTGAATATCCCCAATCTAGACTGTCTACCGTAATCCAGACAGTCTAGACTGTATACTGTATACGGTAGACATTACGACCGGAAAATGGAATCAAATAAAAGAAATTAACTCTTTATTAAGCTCTCTTTTTCAATTCATCAAATTTGAGACTTTTTACTTTGAAACTCACCCATAACTCTTCCCCAACAAGATAAGAATCCAAATAATTCACAATATTTGGATGTTTATTCTCTCGCATCACCAGAATCTCGTTGATAATCAATTCCTTTTTCACCTGAAAACATTTGAACAATTGAAAAGCATCAAATAACTAAGAAATTTACATTTAAATCCCCGATTCAATTACCCAATTATCTATTTTGATTCTAAATCAAAAACAAGAAGTTTAAATCCGAGCATGACTTCCAGATTGAACAAATTCCATGGAAAAATTCGAAATTCCAACTAAATCTTTGAGAAAAAGGGAGGATAAGAGTTCAAGCGAAATTATCAAAGAGTTTGAAAGATTTTCGAAATCTGCTACTGATTTCTGCTTATCTGGAATGCACACTAGACATTGAGAATTAGAATTTTTAGAAATCTGTGATTTAGATGATTTCAAGTGTCTGGTTCAATTACGCAACTATCTATTTTTATTCTAATTACTCTAAATCAAAAAGCGATCAGTTTAAATTCGAGTATGACTTCCAGATCGATCAAATTCCATGTAAAAATTCGAAATTACAACTAAGTCTTCGAGAAAAATGAGGGATAAGAGTTCAAGCGAAATTATCAAAGAGTTTGAAAGGTTTTCGAAATCTGCTACTGATTTCTGCTTATCTGGAATGCATGCTAGAAATTGGGAATTCGATTTTTTAGAAATTTATTATTTACATGATTTCGAGTTGGTGACTTGCGTAATTGAACCGGATTCCAAAAATCAAAAACCGAATTTGAGAAATCGGAAACTGGACCTGTTTCTGCAAGATCATTTGTTTAATAGCGACTTCTTGACCAGTGGAAACCTCAACAGCCGTATAGACTGAACCAGATGCACTAAAAAGTCAGAATTATAAAAGTACTATAAAAACTTTATTAGCTCTTGGCTTAAAATCCGCCTCTAAATCTCGTGTGACATCCAGCTTGGCTATCTAAATCGATAGCATTCCTCAATTCCACCGATTTCCCCATATTTTTCCGTTGAAGTCGTTTCACTTGAAAATTTGTCGAAAAACGATGATTTCTCGAGATTTCAGTCACTTTAATAACCAATCTGGATGTCACAGGCGATGATCGGAATTCGTAAAGTCTTGGAATTAAGCTTTAAACTGACCCGCATCCAATCTTGTCGACTTTTCGATACTTTTTATCTGGATTCCCGATCGTAACAATCGTTCTCAATTTGGCCACAACTTCCGCGTCGCTCATTTTCTTTTTCTTTGTCCCAACTCGATGCACATTTGCCCCAAAACCGCCATTCATTTCCTTGTCTTCTTCTTCTTTCGGTTTTGTGTACTAAAAAAACCAAACAATCATAGAAAATGCCAAATTTACATTTAAACGCTTAAAATTTGCATATTTGACTCATGTGACATCCAGCTTAGCGTTTAAAATCGTTAAAATTAATAGTTTTCCCTAAATTTCTTCAGTAATTGTTACCAACTCTGATTCCAGACCTGACTTTGCTAGATTTACATTTAGGCTGTTTAAATTTGCATATTTGTCTCATGTGCCCCCCAGATTAGCATTTAAAATAGGTAAAATACAGAATTTTTCTTTAATTCCCCAAATTTCCCTTTAGAAATCGATTTTTTCGACTACCTCGTTATTTATGCTTAAAATATTCAGTTCTCGATTTTAAAAACCCGAAAATTTGCTGATCTGGCACGCACAGCGCTAGAAAAGCTGGAAAATTTAGTGCACTAGGTGCTAAAAGTTTACGTCGACCATAGATTTTCGACTTCACCCAAATTTCTATTTTATTAGCGCCTCTAGAATGATGGTTTTTCAAAATCCAACCCATCTGGCACGCACAGCACCCGAAAAGCTGAAAATTCAGGGCGCCAGGTGCTAAAAATTTAGGCCAAATTTTGACGTTCGACTTCACTCAAATTTCTATTTAATTAGCGCCCATTGAATGCTAATTTTTTGATTTTCATCTCAGCTGGCATGCAAAACGTCCAAATAATTGAAAATTCAGTGCGCTAGGTGCTAAAAGTTTAGGTCAACTTTCGACGTTTGACTTCACCCAAATTTCTCTTGACTTAGCGCCCCTAGAATGATGCTTTTTCGAAATTCTGCCGATCTGGCACGCACAGCAACCGAAAAGCTGAAAGTTCAGTGCGCTAGATGCTCAAAATGATCCACCTCCTAGAAAACAATACTTACAATGCTCAACGTTCTCGCGGGTCGATCGGGTACCGGTGGCGGTGCTTCATCGTCTTCTGGAGGCGCCGGTGGGGCATAATTCTATTAAAGAAAATGATTTTTGACTCAAATATCTTTGAAATAAGTTTATTTTTTGAAATTTTAATCTTAAAATCTCTAAAAAAGATTTTGATCATTTTGTTGAAAAGGTCTTTGAAACGAGAAAAGTCGCGACCAAATTTTTCAACAAAGATTCCCGTGAGAGCTGTGACTCTTATTTCCCCCACTAGCTAACGTTTAAAGCTTTCGAATGAACCCTCACAAGGGGGGTTTATATTGGAAATGAGTCGAGATTTCGATGGATGAAAGTTGTCAAGATTTCGAGATACCAAAATTTAGCTTACCCAAAAAAGCATTTTTTTTTCCAAAAAAAATCAAAGAATCTTCTTTTCTGAGTATCTATTTTATTACAGTACTTATTTTATATCTTTTAAGTTATTCAATGAACTCACTGGTGGCATACTCGTTCGATCTTGCATATAGGAAACATTTGACTTTGATGGAGTTGGTCCTGGAAAGTTTGAAGTTAAAAGAAAGGTTTATAGAGAAATATTAGCTAGATTAAGACTAGAAGATGGGTTTAACAGATTGGCTGCGCATTGGCTTGGCTTCATGGCATTGCCTGTCGTTTCAAACGATTTCTATTTTTGGAATCCGGTTCAATTACGCAAGTCATCACCATGAAATCATAGATATTTTTATAAATAACAAATTGATAAAAATCGAATACCCAACGTCTAGCGTGCATTCCAGATAAGCAGAAAGCAGTAAAAGATCATTGAAATCTTTGAAACTCTTTGCTAATTTCACTTGAACCCTTAACCTTCATTTTTCTCAAAGATTTAGTTGTATTTTCGAATTTTTCCGTGAAATTTGGACAATCTGGAAGTCATGCTTGAATTTAAACCGGTGGTTTTTTGATTTAGAATATTCCAAACAAAAATAGATAGCTGGGTAATTGAACCGGACACCACCTCGATACGGGGGGGAGGGGGAGTACTATTACACTATTTAGGGCTCTGAAGTAGCGGTATACCTACCATAAACACTGTAATAGTACCCCACGCCCATAATGACGGTGCGGAGTGTTGCGTAGTCTAGCTTTGAACGAGTGTTTCTCGACACTGGTTTAAGCTACAATGCTCGTTTAGGTATCAAAAAATAGCTGAAATTCCAGGGCTATTTTTTGATACTAAAACGCGCCTTGTAGCATAAAATCGGGCTGAGAACACTAAAGTTGATCGAGGGGGGCGTTTATTAACTTTAGATGCCTCGTTCTCAGCCCGATTTTATGCTACAAGGCGCGTTTTAGTATCAAAAAATAGCCCTGAATTTCAGCTATTTTTTGATACCTAAACGAGCATTGTAGCATAAACCAGTGTCGAGAAAAACGCGTTCAAAGCTAGACTACGCAACACTCCGCACCGTCATTATCGGGGGAGGGGGGCGGGGGAGTACTATTACAGTATTTACGGATGAAATGGCTTCAATTTTCAACGCTTAATTGTCGTTAATCAAATGGGAAATTAAAAAAAAAAAAGAAAATAACCTAAAATCCTTTGTGCATTATTGTAGATTGGCGGTAAACCGTAGGGACTTTTTGGAGAAAACGTTTCTGTGCTTCGGGGTGAATAACCAGAGCCTAAAAATCAAAAAATATTCATTTCATTTAATATTTGACTAAATTAGAGAAAAACTAGCATTTTTGTTGTTTCAATTTTTTAAAAATTAACCTCTTGAAAGTGATCCTAAAGAGTTTTCGCGTTTTAATATTAAAAAATGAAATTCTAATCTTGCCATAACTCTTCCTGGATGTCACTCTTTTAGATAAACACTTTTGAGAAACAGCTTCACCTGATCCCCCAGACTCATACTGTGGCTGCATCCATTTCTCGGTCGGCTCGTGATCCCGAGTGTAGTAGCGGAGAGCCGTCAACACTGCCTGCAATTATGGATGTCACTACAGCTTTATGCTGTTGATTCAGAGGATTCTGATGAACTAGAGAATTTTGGACCTGGACTGACTCTGGCTCTGACTCCGGCTTTCTGGCCAATGTCATCAGCCCATCAGCCAATGACAGCCCTAACGAGGACAGCTGAGCCCTAACCAGAACAGCTGGGCCCTAACCAGCTCCTGGCCTTATCCTACCTGGACTGGACCTTTATAATCTATCTGGAACAAGTGATTGGGTCCAGCAGAAGCCAGGCCTGGACCTGGACTTGGTCTGGGTCCGGCCAGAGCCCAATGGGGCTTAGGCAGGCCTAGGTTGACCCTAAAATAACCTTGTACCACAAACCTGTGGATTCTGTTGCTGTTCGAGCTTGCTGATTTGTGAGTCTTTGAGGAGACGAGCCCAATCGGCTGGCATACCCTGGAAATTGCTTCAGTTAAAATTCAAATCGAAAATCTAAAGCCAAATTCAAATCTAAACACTACAAAGTCTTATGTGACATCCAGATCCGTCAAAAATAAAGAGATTTTGAGAATCGGCTTAGTTTAGGGCAAGAAAACCCATTCTAAGGCTTATCCTGGAAAGTGCTTGAGCTGAAATCAATCTAATCTCAAATCTAGAGCCTGCAAAATATCATGTGACATCCAGATCCGTTAAAAAAAGTGAGATTTTAAAAGTCAGCTTGACTGAAGGCAAGAAGCTCAATCCCAAAGCATACCCTGGAAAGTGCTTGAGTTGGAATCAATCTACTCTCAAATCTAAAGCCTGCAAAATCTCTTGTGATATCCAGATCCGTCAAAAAAAGTGAGATTTTGAGAATCGGCTTAGTTTAGGGCAAGAAACCCCATCCTAAGGCTTATCCTGGAAAGTGCTTGAGTTGGAATCAATCTAATTTCAAATCTAAAGCCTACAAAATATCATGTGACATCCAGATCCGTCTAAAAAAAGGCGAGATTTTAAAAATTCGCTAAAGATTATCTTAGTTGAGGGCAAGGAACAGTAAAAGCTCTAAAATTTCGCAAATCTCATATAAATTCTCATATAATCTTCGAGAATTGCCAGAATACTCAATAAGCTATCTAGCTACCGTATTAGATAAGCTTATTTTACATCCAGTAAATCGATAGATTGAAAATAGTCTGAGGATTACGGTAGAAATTTGAGTTTTCAAAATTTCCTAAAAATCAATATTGTCAATTCCAAGAAGCCATAAATCTCTCGTGACATCCAACTAAGCGATTAAAGCTTTAAAATCCCTAGCTACCCTTTAAAAACTTGCCGTAAACTCTCCAGTGATCGCGTCGAAGCCGACGTGGATCGTGTGCTCAAAGTTTGACGGTTCCGAAATCACCGGTTTATCAGAAACCTTCTCTTTTTCCTTTTCTGAAAAAAAAACGACAAAATTTCGATTTTAAACTGTCTACTTTTTCGCGAAAAAAAAGCGGATTTAAAGAAAAATTTGCATAATTTCGTTTGAATAGTCTATACTTTGAACTCCAAAAAAACACCCTTTCTAGCACACTAAAATCTAGCTTTTCTTTCCAAAAACCCGCTAAAATACTCAAATTTTTGAAATCAAATTCACTCATCAATCAAACTAATTAATCTAATCCGTTTAAAGTCGCGTAACTGAACCGAGCGAATTAGTGGCTGAGGTTTGAGCGCGGAAATGAATCTGATGCTGAGAAATTGCATTCTGGAAGGCACAGCACCTAATGAACAAGTTCTGGAGTCGTTTCGGTTCATTTAGCTTTTTTTGCTAAAAATTTTGTAATTGAACCGGGCAGTGGGGTTAACTGAAAAACCCTTTTTTTGAGGTGTACTTTGTGCTCTTTAGATAGTGTGACTTCCAGGATGAAAACTTTGTTAGACAAGTATTGTAAAAATAGCCATTCTAGCGGTGTTTTCTTAGAGAACTCTTTCGTGCACTAGAAAGGGTGTGTTTTCCAGAGAGCAAAGTACACCTGAAACTTCTCCATTATATAGTGTGCGTTCCAGGATGAAAACTTTGTTAGATAAGTATAGGAAAAACAGCCATTCTAGCGGCGCATTCTTAGAGAACTCTTTCGTGCACTAGAAAGGGTGTATTCCCATTAGCACAAAGTACACTTGAAACTTCTCCATTAGATACTGTGCGTTCCAGGATACAAACTTTGTTAGACAAGTATTGTAAAAATAGCCATTCTAGCGGCGCTTTCTTAAAGAACTCTTTCATGCACTAGAAAGGGTTTGTTTTCAAAGCTTTAGTATAAAGAACTTACTTTTTGTGCCAAATGGATTCATTCCTAACGATTTTTTCTTTTTCTGCATTGTATCTGTGGGTTCTTTCGGCAATGGTTTCAAGCCAACGACATTTTGACCGCCAATATTACTGCTGCTTGATCTAAAAAAATTTTTTCAAAAGATTTAAGCTTTTGATTTCTTTTTTGGATAGTGTGACATCCAGATAGGTAAAGGAATTCGGTAATTTTTGATTTCAGAGAAAATAAGGGGCATTTACAATGTCGAAAGCGTTCATTGGTTGATCGAAATTTTTCTATTAGTATTAATAGTTTTTTGATTTGTTTTTTATATAGTGTGACATCCAGATTGTAGGAATATTTGGTTAAAAACGGGTTTTGCTTTACCGTAAAGGTGGTGGTGGTGGCCGATCGTCTCGACCGAGGCTCTTCATTTACCTGAAAGATATTCGAATTAAATCTAGAATTAAATTTACATATATACATAAAATTACAATTTACATTTAAAATTGATCAATTTGCATTTAAAATTGAGCAATTTGCACTTCAAAAGCGAAATTTGTCTCTAAAAAGTGGGAATTTCCATTGAAAAAGCAATTTACATTTGAAAAAATTGTCGATTTCCATTTAAAAACCCGAATTGTCTTTAAAAATTGTGAATTTGCACCGAAAAACCCGAACTTATCCTTAAAAATCGCAATTTGCATTCAAAATTTGAGCAATTTGAATTTAAAAACCAAATTTGCATTTAAACCGAGCAATTTGCATTTAAAATTGAGCAATTTGAATTTTAAAATCAAATTTGCATTTAAAACTGAGCAATTTGCATTCAAAAATCAAATTTACATTTAAAACTGAGCAATTTGCATTTAAAATCGAGCAATTTGCATTTAAAACTGAGCAATTTGCATTCAAAAATCAAATTTACATTTAAAATTGAGCAATTTGAATTTTAAAAATCAAATTTACATTTAAACCGAGCGATTTGCATTCAAAAATCAAATTTGCATTTAAAAATCAAATTTACATTTAAAATCGAGCAATTTACATTTAAAATCGAGCAATTTGCATTTAAAATCGACCAATTTACATTTAAAAAGCTCTTCATTTACCTGAATTAAATCTAGTAAAATAAAATGTAAATTTTTAAATAAAACAAATTTAAATGTTAATTTTGAGCTTAAATAATTTAAAAAAGCCTAAATAATTAAAAAAAGACAAAATTTTTATATGCAAATTTTTTAAAACTTTAAGAAAAATTATCAAAAAAAACCAAAATTAGAAAAATTATAAAAATTTCAAAATTTACATTTAAGGCTTTAAATGCAAATTTTAACATAAAGTGACATCCAGAATGTCTTCTGAAACAAGAAAAATGAAAAACAAACAAGTATGAAGCGAGATTTTTCTAAGAACTCAAAACCTACACGTCACTCCATCTTTACACCCTTATCTGACCCGATTTCTCTTTCTCTTTTCTTTCTCTTTCTCTTTCCCTGCGCTTATTCATCAAGAGAAGAAAAGAAATAAAAAAACAAAAAAAAAGCAAAGAAAAGATTTTCGATAAATTGTTAAATTGAGTTGTCAAAATAAACAAAATCGTGAAAACGAAAATGACAAAAATTTTCTTTTGTGAAAATTGAAAATCTGATTGTTGGGAAACGTTGTGTGACATCCAGATAGGAGAAAAATCAGAAAAGTTTTTAGATTTTCTTATCAAAAGTTTAAGAAATTGATGAGTGCCTGAATGGTTGAATGACAAATGAAAAATTAGTGGCAACCCTGAGATTTAACCTTTCAGAAATGTTACGTGACATCCAGATTGAGGAAAAATCAGAAAAGCTTTTAGATTTTCCGATCAAAACTTTAAGAAATTGATGAGTGCCTGAATTGTTGAATGACGAATGAAAAATTATTGATAACTCCAAGATTTAACTTTTCAGAAATGTTACGTGACATCCAGATTGAGGAGAAATCAGAAAAACTTTTAGATTTTCTGATCAAAACTTTAAGAAATTGATGAGTGCCTGAATTTTTGAGTGACAAATGAAAAATTATTGACATCCCAATGACTTAACCTTTTAGAAATGCTACGTGACATCCAGTTTTAAGAAAAAGATGAAAAGAACCTCAATCTGATAGCTTAATTTCTGAAAATCGTTGAGTCATCGATTCACTTGATAAGCGGCGGAAAATAAAAATTCCAATAAGGCAGAAATTTCTAGTGACATCCAACTAAGAGACTAAAGCTTAAAAATAATATTATTACATCAGCCAAACATCCGGAATTTGGGGGAACTCTGTTTTTCACTTTGAGCATGCCGCTTTGATAAGCCGTTTACAATGGGAACAGCAAATAATCGAGAAGAATGGAATATATTGAGAAAAAGAAAACCGATATTGAAATCTGGATGATTTGAATGATTTGGTGAGAAATTTTCGTGAAAATCGAGATTTTATGCAGAAAAGTGGTTGAATCATTTTTCTGATGATGGCAAAAATGATGAGATTTGCTGGAAAGATGATAGAGATTCTATTGGAAATGGAATTGTTCCAAAGATAGCCAAGGTAGCTCCGCCCTGCCTTTGCCTTAGCCTTAGATCGAATGCAACTACCCACCCTTGGGTAATTAAACCGGCTAGGGTAGTCTTTTCAAAACTATCTGGAGGGCCCGTGTGCCAGAAATTGCGCGATTGCCTCGCACTTCAAAGAACGCACAAAGAACATTATTATTCGTTATTTTTTGTTTCTTGATCATGCCAAGAAATTTTCTGTCGTGAAAACTGAATATTTGTTTGTTGGAAAACGTTGTGTGACATCCAGATAGGAGAAAAATTAGAAAAACTTTTATATTTTCCTATCAAAACCCCAAGAATTTGATGAGTACCTGAATGGCGGATTGACCGATGAAAAATTAGTGGCAACCCTGAGATTCAACCTTTCAGAAATGTTACATGACATCCAGATAGGAGAAAAATCAGAAAAGTTTTTAGATTTTCCCATAAAAACCCCAAGAATTTGATGAGTGCCTGAATGGCTGATTGACCGATGAAAAATTAGTGGCAACCTCAAGATCTAACCTTTCAGAAATGTTGTGTGACATCCAGATTGAGGAAAGATCAGAAAAGTTTTTAGATTTTCGCACAAAAAACCCAAGAATTTGATGAGTGCCTGAATGGTTGAATGACTAATAAAAAATTAGTGACAACCCAAAGACTTAACCTTTCAGAAATGTTACATGACATCCAGATCTAAGAAAAAAAATGAAAAAAAGATGCTTTTTCGTTTCCTGTAAACTAGACCAGGTCAGGCTAGACTTCGGGATGTCAGTTTCAAGTCAGGGGGTTGAGTGAATTGAGAAGAAGTGGTTTTCCAATGGTCAGGGTTTATCGACTTGAAGTTAGGTTAGGACAGAGCAACCAGAATGCAAATAGAAAGCGATGATTGATAGGAATCAATTCAGAGGCAATTCAGCTAGAGTAGTTAGATTAGTCAAAGGAATCAAAGTTAGATCTGAAAAGGAGATCTCAAAAAGATCAGCTTTAGTCCTATTAGGGTTAAATAAACAATCAAAATAAGTAGCTAATCGATTGAGTTTGGATAATCAAATATTCGATGAAAGAGAGAGAATCTGGCTGTAGGATTGATGTGAAAATTGGAAAATTGGAAAGCCTGCACTTATCTCTTTTGGATAGCAAAGAGAATGATCCTAAAATGAGAATGAGAATGAGAATGAGAAGAGAAGAGAAGAAAAGAAAAGAAAAGAGAAGAGATGAAAAGGCGAATTTCCATCAAAATCCGGCTCTTTTTCCCGGATCAAATCAGGCTACCATTGCTGAAACGATTAGATATTTAAAAGTATCAATTCAATGATCAGCTAGGCTAGCGTTAGATAGCTGAGGATCAGGGTCAAACTAGATTAAGGACCTAGACTAGCTCGAGCACTTCTAGGGACAATTGACAGTGATTTCTGTCCAGTGACCTGGACAGTGACTTGGACAGAAATTATTGACAACCCAAAGATCTAACCTTTTAGAAATGTTACGTGACATCCAGATCTAGGAAAAAGATGAAAAGAACCTCAATCTGATAGCTAAATCTCTGAAAAACGTTGAGTCATTGAACGCTTGATAAAGCAGTGGAAATTATTGACAACCTCAAGATCTAACCTTTCAGAAATGTTGTGTGACATCCAGATAAAGGAAAAAACAAAAAAGTTTTTCGATTTTCCTATCAAAACCCCAAGAATTTGATGAGTGCCTGAATGGCTGATTGACCGATGAAAAATTAGTGGCAACCCTGAGATTTAACCTTTCAGAAATGTTACGTGACATCCAGATTGAGGAAAAATCAGAAAAGCTTTTAGATTTTCCGATCAAAAGTTTAAGAAATTGATGAGTGCCTGAATTGTTGAATGACGAATGAAAAATTATTGATAACTCCAAGATTTAACCTTTCAGAAAACTTGTGTGACATCCAGATAGAGGAAAGATGAGAAAAGTTTTTCGTTTTTTTCTATCAAAACCCCAAGAATTTGATGAGTGCCTGAATGGCTGAACGAATAATGAAAAATTAATGACAATCTTAGGATTTAACCTTTCAGAAATGTTACGTGACATCCAGTTCTAACAAAAAGATGAAAAGAACCTCAATCTGATAGCTTAATTTCTGAAAATCGTTGAGTCATCGATTCACTTGATAAGCGGCGAAAATTTTCACAGCAATCAAAATTTCAATAAGGCAGAAATTTCTAGTGACATCCAACTAAGAGACTAAAAGCTTAAAAATCATACTATAATTTCAGGAATTCGCGAGAAATTTGAGGGAACTCTGTTTTCCTTTTTGAAACGTGAAAAAACATCAAAATCACACTGAAACAAAGCTCGTGATTTAAAAGATTTCTCTCAAAATTTGATCCAATTGATTAGAGGTGAGATTGATTAATGAAAATTTGCAGGAAAATGGAAAATAAAGAATTCTTTGGACTAGAGAGGTTTTGTTTATGATTTTTGGAGGAAAAAAAGACATTGGATAAACTGAGTGATTAAAAATTGTGTAATTGAACCGAGTGAGAGCTTTAAGAAGATCAAAAATGGAATAAGGAATGGGAAGAATGTCAAAAAAAAAAGCTAAAAAACGATCGAAAAGCCGGTCAACTTTGACCCTCGTTTTCTCGGTGTTCTTACAGGTGATTACCCCAAAAAAACTACACTTTTCTCTAGCCAAATTTTATGAGGATTCTTTTGAAATCAACCGTAAGTCGATCAGAGGCCTGGAAGTCGAGATATAAACGATCAAAGTTGACCGGTTTTCGATGTGGCTTGGATTCCATTTTTTGCTTTTTTGCTGATTTTATAGGCATGACTTATAACTTTTAGAAAAAGAAAAGAAAGAAAGGAAGGGAGAGAAAGAAAGAGAAAGAGAAAGAAAGGGA